GTTAGATCCCCAGAACTCACTTGGAAAAGGTCCTGATTTTGTAATTTTATTCTGAAAATTTGAATTTTATGTTTTTGCGCCAAGAGATGCTTAATTGACCTACAGTTTATATTTCCCACTCGGAAATCATTGACTGTCATTGGTTGACGAATTTTTTTAGTACGCTATTTTGTGGCTTTTCCAAAGGCGTTTCTATCCTTTTATAAATAAGCTTGATTTGTGTGCTTAGGACCTCGTATTTTCTGGGTGCTTGTAGAATACATTCTCTTCGGCTCAGAAAGACTTCTTGGTCTAGTTAGCAGGGTCGGGGACAACGGATTAGAATAGCTTATCGTGTCACTGTATCTTTGACCTTCGTTCCGTTTATCGAGTAAGGTGAACTCGTAGCATTCAAGCAGTTGGAAACAGGACCATGAAATGAGAATTTATGAGGATAACGTAGGAATTATCCAATAATTATTTTATCTAATCCTCTTATAACACGGCTTCTGTTCAAAAGTTACTGTCTGACATATCATTTAGGTTAAATTCAAGAGTTGTTGGATACTTCCTTAGTAATCGATAATTCGCAATCACAGATCAAACTATGCTGTATGTGTTAGTAACTCATAAATGAATAAAATAAAAGATGAAGGATATTAGTTGGTTCGACCACTTCTCACTTCAGGAATACCAGCATTTAATGTTATTATTTGCCGTGATTTTAGAATGCAAAATGTTTTTATATACAAACTTACGAGGTTGTGGTGTATGCTGCTTATGTTGTTAGATATAATTAGTATGTAACATCACTCAGAAGTGGAATACAGATAGCAGAAGGTTAAGAAGATCAAATTGAAGAGAACAGAAATGTAAATAGAGAACAAAAGTAATGACAACTGGAATGAAGGGACAATGGAGTTTGAGATCATTGATGGAAGATTTACAAATGAAGTATTTAATGTAAGGTCTTTCACGTTTTATGAAAGAACTTTGTAATTTGGTATTGAATAAGTAAATTGGTTTTCCCTATCTGAGCTCTCGTTTACTACAAGATAATTCTGAATTGTTCATCCACTACAGTCATATATAATTATTTTAGATTTGCGTCTCACGTGTATTCTACGAGAACTGGGTGTGTGATACAATAGGGCGAATAGTGTGGCAACTTAACTTCGAGACTATCATACAAAGGATTATTATCTATACTTTCATATTATCATATTTCTAAGCTTTCATTTGATCCATAAATCGCCACCATATATATTATTATTCCAGATTTTTCATTAATTAATTATTCGCCTATTATCCTGGTCATGTACCATTTATGACTGATCTATGGACACGCTGTAATTATTGTTACTGTGCAGTTAGACATTCAAAGCGTATTATTGTCTGAGTTTTGATCATGATTAAATTGAGTGCAATAGAAAACTGATCTACTTTCTATCCTCATCTTCTGATTAACCATTGGGTTAGGAGCTTGATGACATATAAGCTTTAATGTTTTATTTATACTAGTTGGTTGATGTGTCACTTGGTAAATGGATCACCAGTCCTACTGCAAATACAGGTGAACTAGTCGATAACCATTTTGAGAGGGAGAGGTTGTACTGCTCGAGTACACAGGACAAAATAACCCAAGTAAACAATATGTTTTTTCATCTGACATAACACAATACTTTACCAGTCATTGGCTCACTTTACTTCTGAAGATTCTCGCTCTCACAAACACAGACTTCCTCACATTCCCCTAGCCTACAATAAACCTTAAGCCTAGACGCAAACCTAACAAAGACTGAACCCTGTACACCTTCGTTACTTTAAACGTCAACGACAGAATGTATCCCTTTTTTTAAACAACAATTCTTTAGCTCACAACTTACGAGTTATTTATTATATCCAGTTGGTCTAGGTGGTTTAATGTTAAAAAGTCTTTTCCTTTATAATTTAGCCTCATCTGAAGGAAAACGAGTGAATATCACTTTTAGTTATTTCAAGCAGGGCCACTACAAACAACTAAAGAATCAGTGTGTTCATGAGTAACGTATTAGCCTGTTACAATTTGTGATGACTGAAATATTTCTCACTGTTCATCATTTATATCCCCACGTTCATATCTATACAACTGGTTGAAGTTAGACATTAACATCGTCGGATGATGGTTTTGGAGTAGAGGTTTAGCGTTTGCTCACAAAACTGAAAGTTCTAGAGCAGGTTTGTGATTATTTAGTTTTTGATTGAGATCATGAACCGATTGGTGTTAGACTACCATTGAAAGCCTGGAAGAACTGGACGGCCATCTTGTCCTATTGTGGGACTCCTCAGCAGTGCGCATCCACGATCCCACCCGCGGGATTTAGACCCAGGGCCTTCAATCTCGCGCACGAACGCCTGACCTCCAGACCACTGAATCGGCATCCGACGGTGTTAATGTCTAACTTCAACCAACCCACGAAATCGCACGACCATCTTCCACTGTAATGAGGTAGATACCTGTCTCTGCCCGACACGGATTAGCTCCACCGGTTACGGCCTCTCACTAGAACTCTGAGAATTCTCTCACGAAGCTAGTCACTAGTGAGCACATGGTAATTATCAGTATAGGGTTGTGGAGATTATTAAGATGAAACGGCCGTCCAGTGCTTCCAGGCTTTCAATGGTGGTCCAGCATCAATAAGTTTATGATCTCAATAAAAAACTGGTATTATAAACATATGAATAACTGGATTAGTGCTCATGTTATCCTACTAAATTCATATCAAACAAGGGCCAACTGCTTGACGTCGGCCACACACGACCTTCTTGTGTTGGCTCCGTAATTGTTGGGACCTTACCGCCGGAAAAGGAAATCCGTGGGATAAGGTGAGGTATGTATTTTTAGGGTTGACCCTTTCCAACCTTACCCTTCCTTGTGGAAAGGCAGCACCGCTGCTATACTGGTTGTCTGAAGGAAACACCTTACTGCCGTCACATCTCTGTACAATGAGCAGTACGACTTCGCCCTCGGACATTGGGTTTGCTGCTTTTAGTCTTATCGCTCTTCAACAGACATGCTTGGCACAATAAGACCTTGGGGGAAGGATTATTCCAGACAGTATAGCTCGACTGGTTCATCACGACAGGCAAGCCTGACCAGCACGTCAAGGTAGCAGCAACGGTCGGGAAACATGATATAGTCTTCGGCCAAACATTTCACCTGTAATTACATAAATATTTCTGTTAACTTTATTCACTTACATTTATTCCAACTATCAATCTCAAGTTAACAGTACATCCTTGTCGTTTTGACACCACTGATTTCATTTTACAAGCGATCCATAATTAATAGGCGGTGATTGTAAAATACCCAAATGTGTTAAACTTAATCATTCTTTAAAATCACGAAGCGATATAAGCTGTACAAAAATCGAAAACCTGAAAATACTGGACAGCTATTTCGTGCTAGTATGATACTCTTAAGGAGTGTGCAATTATGACCCTGCACACAGGAAATGAACCCAGAACCACCAGTCTCGCGCTCAAACACCTGAATTATAGATCAAGTCGGTAGCCAATAGTGTAATATATAACTTCAACCAATCCACGACATTGTGTGACCATCTTCCTTTGTCTTCGATGGATAACTGCCTCATACGCGATACGGTTTAGCTTTACTGGTCACGGATTTTCACTAGAACTCGAGAAATTTCCTATTAAAGTTAGTCACGATTGAGCACATGGTAATTGCCAATGAAATTCAACGATTTCTACAACAATACATACTGACACTTGACCATTCTTTTAAATTACTAATTTACACTGTAACTATGAACCCAAATCGAATTTATTAAACAGAATATTATTCATCCATCTATATCTATTTTTTAATATGATGAAAAATGTTTGAACACTTCACACACTTAGTTCTGTAAAATAAAGTTCTCAACAATTAAACAAAAGTTTCAAACACAAACCGATAATTAGGGGCTCCCATAAAACATGTAATTTAACTACTACCACTATTAGTCAATTAATCACAGTAATCTGTCTAGTTCCATGTCGATATACACTATGAAGAAGAAGATTATGATTGGTTATAGATTCATTCCACGCAAGCTTTCTGATAATTTTACTTACATCTCTGAGTAGTTCCATTCACTGGATGGAGTATGCATGCTTCAACAACAACGTTTCGGGTTCAAACCCTGTGGGACAGAATTCCGTTTTTTAAACTGTAGAATCATTAACATTCACATATAAAAAAGTAACTCAATACTGAGTATATAAATCTGCACTTAGATACTAAAGTTGTGTTATATTCAAATTATCTAGCGTTTAGGAAACTATTGAGAACTACGTTCAAACAAATAATAACAATGATAAAATAAATGAAATCATGACAAAAGATTCTCGTTAGTAAACCATTTTGAATGTGGTTATTTAGTTGACTATTTCAGTGAAATTTAATTAAAATAATTGAGTTGCAAAGCCACTTAGTCAGTCAGTAACAACGTAGAACTTCGTACGTACGTACGTACGTACATCAGTTCGAGTTGCCATACCACATTAGCACAGACATACAGTTGTCCATTCAAATCCCATAGTGGTAGAGGTAGTAAAAGTATAAGCAGTAATCGGAAAGATTAGGGTTTGGAGATGTTATTCAAGGAGTATAATAAAGTGAAATAAACTTGGAAGGAGAAAAAGAAAAGGGACACATAGAATTCAGAAGATTAGAATTTGGGAGAATACAAAGAGTGGATGCACCTCCGCCATTGCAAAACGATTTTGAGCCATGTCATTCAGGGTCTCTAACCATCGGTTGCTATCCTCTCGCAGTCCCCAACCAGGTAGTCTACACCTAACAACATGGCGTAGTCCACTCGTCAGTGACTTCATGGATTTGTACCATATTTTGGTCTGGCTGCCCTTAGCTTTCTTCCAACTTACTCCTACACCACAAAAAGTCGCATGTCCGGGCAGCCGCTGGCTCTAAGTTCTCTTTGTAAAGCCACTTAGAAACAAAAATTTAAAGGACTAAAAGATGAAAACAAATATATTTCTTGAGAAAAACGAAACAAAGTTAAATTACATAGTATTATTATTATTACAATTAAAAAAATATTTCCGTTTCAATGTAAAAAAAAACAAGACATCGAAAACATGTTATTAAAATTAATGTAGAAAAAAAAGCGACAGGATATGTCATTGTGAATTTGTAGCGAATCTATTTTTCAATGGTCAATATTTGGACTGTATCAAGGATTTTTGGGTAATTTTCTGTTCATTTATTATGTAATTGCTATATATAAAATCATAATTTTCACTGAATATTTCATCAAAAGCTCTAACTTTTCTTTCATTTCTTTTTTTCATCTGGAAAGTTGAGATCCACTACAGTGGCGTACTGTCGTATGGAGCACTCATTCACTAATAGAATGGGAAAATGCTCGAAAATGTACTTTTGTGGAACACTGAAGAGGAATGGATAATCTTAGATAATAAAAGAATTTGAAGTGAAAATTGGTATTGTTTTATGGATTAGATGTACATAATCAAGTATGTGTACAAAATGAATAGCTGTAGATCCCCTCCAACAGTCATTCAATGATTGTGTTCAGTTTCCAATTTATTGTAACGATTTTCTGAAATGTGAATTGTTTGTTATCATAAAAAAATTCTCTTATAAAAAAATCATTGAAACATTAAGAAAAGTATAGAAAATTAATTAAGAGAATTCTTAACAGTACATATATACATATGTCTATAGGATTGACGATAGCTTACTGGGTAAGGTGATCAACTTTCATCTACAAGATTGCAAACTTGAGCCTCGATTAACTTAATTTAGGGGCACTCGGATAGTATTACTTGCCCATACAGAAAAAGTACAAGTTAAAGTCGAGTATATGATCTACTAGGTGTTTTGAAGTAATAGGCAAGAAACCTTATTCAATCTATATTTCATCTCAGTCAATACTCATCAGCAAGACGTAATTCCAATCTAGATGGAACTGATGCAACTCGTAGGATTGGAACTTGCATCACATTCTGACACGTTAACACTGAGGCATTTGGGCAGCAAGTACTCACTTGGCAAATGAGTTACAACAACATCACTATTGCAACGTCACATCATCACTGATTCATTATCACAACAATTCAATTCAACGAGAACAATATAGCCTAAAATGTAGTCACATTGAATTTCTCATTTGATTGTCATCAGAGATCATTATAATTTTATTCAGGTTAATCCCAAAAAGGCAAGTTGCAGTTTAAGGCACAAACATTTATTTGATTTGTGCGGCTGAAGAGTAATCGATTCCTTAATCCATGAAAAGTTAGTATTGTCATCTGGTCTAGTCTAGTCTATAAACATTGAGAAGTTCATCTACTTCAACGGAAAAAGGTAGTCGACCTGCAATTACTGTTTATTCACAAAGTAAATATAACGAAAGATGTATTAAAGGATACATTTCAAAGGAACATGAAGGTAACTACGAGTTCAAATCGAGGACGTTCGTCTAGATATGAGGAGGATAAGTGGGCTTAGGCATATCACTTACTTGTTCTTATAAGTCAACTAAAGATCAAATGGTAGATGAGAAATAATAAACGAGATACACTATCGAAGGAAGCCGATTATACTTTCAGTCAAGAGTCTTAGCTTACATGTCCCTGTTTGGGGTCAAAAGGACAAATGTCTAATAATTCAGCCCTGCTAATTACAGCTTCTTAGTTATCTTTCAGTCACTTTACTCGCATAGCTGGTTGATTAAGCTGTGTAGGAAGCTAGTCTGTCGGAACTGTACGATCACGAAACATAATGAGTACCATTAATAGATTATACGTAACAGACATTAACCAGTTGGATATGAATCCCAGGTGTGAATGTCAACAATGGGATGCAGGTGTACACGTAATGAACAAGTTCAGAATACGATGAAACATTTGTCCTGGACTCTACTATTAGATATAATCGGTCGATTATGTATTAAAATCTTTACATGACTTTAGTTTAGTAAAAAATACGGTCACGTTTTCTGAAATTTGAATAAAATCAGCTTCTATCATCAGTTTTCTCTTCATTTTTGTATTGTGCGCTCAAAGTATTCACAGTAGCAATTATCAGTATTTTTGGGACGGTTATAGCAAATATAGGTATTACTTTGATTTCAAGACTACTTTAAATGGATTTTTTACTGTTTCAAATGTCATTTTATTTCATTTACCTAGTACCTAACTATAAAATAGGCGGATATAACATAAAAACTTTGAGAAACAAAACTATTTTCAAGTCATCAAAGCTTTAGTATTAATCAAAGAAAGAAGATGAGCAGTCGTGAACAGAGATATAAAATCCAGAAGAGGAAAAAAAGAAAAAAACGAGACTTCATTTGTACAAGGCAATTAAAAAAAAGGAAGTAAACCGGCAATTTATACACAACTGTTCAGTATTAATAGTAGTAGTGGTAGCGTCCAGCTTCATTATATCGCGTCATATTAAATTAATATAAAAATTAGGAAAGTATTTGAAAGAGAGAAAAAATGCCGAATCATATCATTGACATGAATTTTATTTTCACTGCACCCACACATTTCCCAATATTTTTGAACTTAGAATCCATTGCAATATAAAAGCGTACAGATTTGTTTTGCTCTGAAGGTTAACACTACTTTTATTTTTATATAAGTAACATAATTCTAAATTTGTCGTTTATCAGATCAAATAGCGAGACTTGCGAATAATTTGTACAATTACTAATATCGACCGTAAAATTGTTGTTTTGAAAAGTTTTGACCTTTATCTTCCGTCCCTGTTTTGTACTCTCATGTCAATACACATCGATTATCGCCCGAAAATACTTCTCGTTTTCGCTTATTAGCTGTCGCAATAATAGAACTTTAATATATTTCGCTGTCTACGTTTACAGATCACATTGATATATTTATTACGAGATTACTCTAGATACACAATTTGAATTACATTCATAACATTTGGAATCATTGTCTACTTATAGTTATGTATTACTAGACCAAAAGGAACTCGAACATGCCTCCTGACAATTTAAGTAACGTTACATATTTTTCTTTGTGTATAACTAATATTTCGGTATATTACCAATTGTCTCTACTCTTTTTTTGTAATAACTTTATCATTATTTTAGAATTGATATATTTGGTCTACTACAGACTAATATGTGGGTGAACCAATCAAATTAAGAATAGAAGTCTTAAACTTTGTTGCGAAAGTCATTTGTCCGTCGAATTGAATAGCATTTTGGCATTATAGCTGATTTCAGCTCATGATAAAAATCCTTGCTTTATTTTCAATATAGGGTTGTGAAGATTGTTGATATATTATATTATATTACGCCTGTTACTCCCAATGGAGCATAGACCGCCGACCAGCATTCTACAACCCACTCTGTCCTCCGCCTTCTTTTCTAGTTCCATCCAACTCTTGTTCATTTTCCTCATGTCTATCTCCATTTCTCGGCGTAATGTGTTTTTTGGTCTTCCTCTTTTCCTTTCGCCTTGAAGATTCCATGTGAGGGCTTGTCTTGTGACGCAGTTGGGTGATTTCCGCAATGTGTGTCCTATCCACTTCCAGCGCTTCTCCCTGATTTCTTCCTCCGCTGGGATCTGGTTTGTTCTCTCCCACAGTAGGTTGTTGCTAATAGTGTCCGGCCAACGGATATGAAGTATTTTGCGTAGACAACTGTTAATAAACACTTGTATTTTCTGGATGATGTCTTTCGTAGTTCTCCAGGTTTCTGCCCCATACAGTAGAACTGTATTGACATTTGTATTGAAAATCCTGACCTTCGTGTTGGTTGACAGTTGTTTTGAGTTCCAGATGTTCCTCAGTTGTAAATATTCTGCTCTTGCTTTGCCGATCCGCGCCTTCACATCTGCATCAGATCCACCATGTTCATCAATGATGCTGCCCAAATATGTAAAGGTTTTTACATCTTCCAAATCTTCTCCGTCAATTGTGATTGGATTGGTGCATTCTGTGTTGTATCGGAGAATCCTGCTTTTCCCTTAGTGTATATTGAGACCCATTGCTGCTGAGGCTGCTGCCACATTGTTCGTCTTCTCCTGCATCTGTTGTTGCGTTTGCGATAGAAGAGCCAGATCGTCCGCGAAGTCTAGATCATCCAACTGCATCTAAGATATCCATTGTATCCCGCGCTTCCCTTCAGACGTTGACGTCTTCATGATCCAGTCGATCACCAGGAGAACTTGATAAAAAATCATGGACCGATTCAAGTTAGACCACCATTGAAATCCTGAAACCACTTACTTTAATTCGTAACCCTAAATTCTAATGTTAACACTTCATACTACCTTAGTAAGGTAGGTGAATTGCCTCAAGGTCACTTTGGTGTCACTTAAAAGTCGTCCATAAATTATAGTTTCACCAATCAGATGTAATAACAGACAGAAAAAGTTGTAAAATTAGAAAAGTAGAACATGTAAACGATAAATATCATTTAACCATTAGACCACTGAGCCGGCATACAACGGTGTTAATGTCTAACTTCAACCAATCCACGAAGTTGCGCCACCATATACGATTGTCTTCAGTGAGCTAATATCTCCCAACAGACCTGGTTGTACTCCACTGGTAACGGCTTCCCACTAGAACTCCAGGAGTATCTCTTGGAGTCAGTCACTAGTGAGCAGATGATTATTATCAGAAGGGGTTTGTGGAGATTTTAGAAATTTTCACAGATTGAAATCATGAGTCAGTTGAAGCTAGAACACCATTGAAAACCTGGAAGCACTGGACGGCCGTTTCGTCCTAGTATGGGACTCCTCAGCAATGCGCATCCACGATCATTTAAATAATTCAAAATGACAGTCATTAAATGGAAATAATATCCCATCAAAATATATCGTTGGCTACTAAGAATTGACTAATCAAGAATTAAATTACTATGAATTTTCCTAAATAATTCTAAAGTTCATAAAATATATTATACAAACAAGTGGAATAGATTGTATTGATAACATAGGAATTCCTCAACGTTACAAGATTCCATCTATCTCTGAGTAGCAACCAATGACTTGTAATCAGTTATTACTGAACTAAAATATCACATCTTCTATACATTTTTAACCGATTTAAAACATAAAAAAATAATTGTATGATCGATGTTAATTGATTCAGCGACAGAAAATATGCCCCAATAAAATTATTCAGACTATGTAAGAATAGGAATACAATTCTAAAGTAGGGAAATTCTCCACTTATCATCCAATATGACTTGAATTTTTTAGTTTCCAAGGCTGTTAATTCTGAACACTTGTGTAATTTGAAGAGCATTTATTATTTCAGCATATGCTACTAGAATATTTGTCATTAATTTTATTCTACGTTTCTTCTACAAGCGAGTGCTTTTAAACTGAACATTTTTTTAGCCAAACGTTAGATCAAGAAACAAGTCAGAAGATATGTGATAGGTTATAAAGGTGCAGTATATAAATTAACGTTTTTCAAAACAAAAAAATATTTGAACTAAAAATTTATAGGTTTAATTTATCACCGATGGATCGCATTTAAGGTAACACTGGTAACTAGAGGGCACCGGATAGCTGTCTCGTCCTGTAAGTCATTCGTTGTTCTAATGGTCAAACGTTTACAGACAGATCTGAAAGTTTGTGGCTCGATTCCTGGTAGGATTTTGAATGGAAACTGATGAAGAGTCCTAAACTAGGGCGAAACAATTGGCTGATACACCCCGTTGTTTCCAATGTTACTCTAAATGAAATGAATGAAACCTACGAATCAAACTAATCACAACACAAACTACTTCAGATCAGCCAGAATCCCTGGTTTTTTTGTTCCAATTTCATAATTAAACGCAGAAATATCATATCTACCTAGTTGTTTGGTTAAAGCTTCAATTTCAAACGCTTTTTTCTCCAACTGTTCTATATCCTTATCGAACTGATCAATTTTTTTCAGGGCATCACTTAATGAAGCAACTAAACAGGATTAAAAACAAACAGAAAAAGGCAAATAATGAGAAATTATTGGAAGAACTAAGAATAAATTACTTTAAAAACCTTTTCGTAATTACGACGTATAAAGGTGATACGAAACAGTGATAGTTACAAATGATTAGTTACTGAGAAGTGATTAACGTCATGTTTGTCTAATTCATTTTAATGCTGATCGTATTTTATCGATCAGTAAATTGCAATGTGCCAACTAGTCTACTGGACTCAATGTCTCATGTATTATGTTTTTATATTAGATGGTTGAAAGTAGTTAGAAGGAAATCGCAGTCGCTCAATAGAACATGATTATTATCAGGGACAAGATAAACAAGACATTGGTCACAACTCAGTGATGAACCAATTATTAACACATATATCTTAGTTCTACAGGAGGCCAGTCACGGCCCAAAAAGCTTAATGATAAGGCCTCAAACAGTATAAATGGGATCACAAGAATACCAAGTTCTATCAAGATCATAGTTACACCTTGTACGGCAAGTCTCAAAGGGCATGAAATCTGCGTTAAACAGGGTTTCATGGTGAGTGCTTTCATCGACATAACATCAGTGATTAAGTTGCTTACGACGAATTAACTTCGGGTTATTCAGAAAATTTGATTAAATTGAAGTATATATTACCTATGAAGCTGCAGTACCAGACAAAGGCTACATCAGTTACTTACAATTCTTGATCTGTATAGTTCCCTCTTTGATGGTGAAGTACTTATTATCAATGGTTAGAAAAGATGAGTAAAATGGGACAAAACCTGTTACAGTTGTACAGTTGCTGTGTCTATTCACTATATTCATATTTATCATGATTAACGTGTCCATTTTAACTTCCTATTCTTTTATAGCATTCGAAACTAACCATTCATATCCGCCTTTCATCATGTTAACTTCCTCTCTTGTAGTACTGACGTGAGGTTCGTCAGTCAGTTACAATCAATATAGAGCTTAGTACACATATGTGTTGATTCAACACGATGAGATGCAATTGGCAAGATGAACAGCAACAGTTTTGCAATGACGATTGTGACGATAATAATGAGAAAGATTCAAAATTGAGAATATAATTCAGAAATATAGAAGAAACGGTATGTGCGAATGAATATTGAAGCACAAGACCTAAAAGAAGATAAAATGTGAATAAATATGCATTACTGTGACCTATTCTGATAGATATCACCTAATTATTGACCATGATAATCCTACAGATACCAAACAAATGATCTGAACCCATCAACACCTACCCAAAAGTCAATAACTTTACAGACTGATACCGAATCTTGATTTGGCCACTCTTGATTGTTAGTGATCTCATCTTTTAAATCTTGAATTTTCTATTAGCGAGTATTTTCTGTATATTTATGCAATAAAACAACCTGCACTCATGTGACATATTTCTGTTATCTTCCGAGTTCGTCCAATTCTGACATCGGTATAAAAGTTTCCTATACATGAGGCCAAACCAAGTCATCAGAAAACTTCTGAAGGATAACTGAATCAAAAATATACGCACAAATGAATAAGAAATATATGTGCGTCACTCGCAAAAGCTTGCGCCGGATTTTTAGTCAACCATGTACACCAATTCGTCCAGAAAGTGAAACTGAACCTTAATCAATAATATGCCCCGTCAGTATTTTACATTTATCATCTGACCTATGTTCGATTGACCCAGAGTATCATTTTAAAATTGAACTGTCTATCTGCTTCTCTAATGGAAAGATATAATACTGAATGAACAGTAAGTCTACTTTGCCTCTTGTTAATCCACAGATCATATGTTAATCAACTAGCTATATTTTACGTTGGTTTACAAATAAATTACTTATAATGAACCAAACAACGAAATCGGATTTTAACATCAATTATAGTATCAAACTTACAACGGTTGTTCACATCAATTAATTTTCTTGTCATATCATTTGTATTTGTAGTTAATTCCATGTAACGTTCGCTTGAAGCTTGATTCATACGTGTTAATATATTGACATCAGAAACAAGACCTACAAAAATATAGATTAGATCATCCAATATGTGATTTTAAATCATTATAAAAGAAGTTTTATGTGCAAAAACAAAACAAGAACTTATTTCCCAGTGTGTTAAAACGATCAATTTCTAATACTTTCAAGTTTAAACGCAATTCATCCTGCTTGTAACTTTCGTTTTCATTCGGTTACCTTTAGTGTATTATATTACTTGCTGATATTCCGTAACTGATGTTAATGACAATCACTTTTGAGCATACAATTTGTAATGTCATTACGTTTTCGTGCGATATTTCTAGGTACTTCAAGAAATCGGTGCCATTTAGTCGAGTAATTATTGTAACTTCATTTCCTTGGTATTCTTAATAATTTATACTTTTTTGCATGCTTACCGAACATTTTTTATCTGTAAAAGCGTCTATATTTAGTGTGAACAGTTCCTATTTCATATTATTGTCTGGAATGATTGCATCGAAATGTTCAAAAGCCGAGAAAAACTGACTCGCGAGGAGCAGGTTGGGTTTCGTTCTGGTCGAGGATGTATTGATCATATCTTCACCCTCTGCCAAATGTTAGAACACCGCCATACTTATCAAAGGCCAACAATCGTAGTGTTTCTTGACATCAGGGTTGCCTTCGACTCGTCGGACAGGACTGTTCTCTGGGATTGTCTATTGAAGAAGGGTGTGCCTGAGAAGTTTATTAACATCCTAAAAGCCCTATATAAAAACACCTCAGGCAGAGTGAGGGCATACAACCATCTCTCTCCATTGTTCCATTCGAGCAGTGGGGTTAGGCAGGGTTGCCCAATCTCACCATTCCTCTTCAACTTTGCCATCGATGACATTCTGGAAACAGCTCTGATGGGTGTAAGTAATGGTGGTGTGGATTTGTTGCCTGGAGAAAGACTTCTCGAACTTGAGTATGCGGACGATATTGTCTTACTGTGCGATAATGCCCAAGCCATGCAATCCGCACTTAATCAGTTGGCAATCAATGTCCGTAGGTATGGTATGTGCTTTGCACCTCCGAAGTGCAAAGTACTTCTACGAGACTGGCAGGATTCTAATCTTGTACTCACTCTGGATGGTTAGCAGATAGAAGTAGTTGAGAATTTCGTGTATCTAGGTAGCTGCATGAGTTCTGGTGGTGGCGTGAGTGATGAAATCGATTCACGTATAGTGAAAGCCAGAACGGTTTATGCCAATCTGGGCCATCTTTGGTGCCTTCGTGATGTTAGTCTGGCTGTAAAAGGTCGGATCTACAACGCGTCGGTGAGAGCAGTTTTGCTCTATGCTTGTGGAACCTGGCCTCTCCGAGTTGAGGACGTTAGACAGCTCTCTGTGTTCGATCATCGCTGTCTCCGAAGGATTGCTGACATTCAGTGGCAACACCATGTTAGTAATGCAGAGGTTCGGGATCGTGTGTTCGGTCACAGAGACGATAATCCAATTGGTGTCACCATCTTGAAACACCGACTTCGGTGGCTTGGACATGTTCTACGAATGTCGTCCCAGAGAATTCCTCATCGTGCATTACTTGCCGACTCTGGGACTAGTTGGAAAAAGCCGAGAGGTGGTCAGTGTATGACATGGTGTTGTGGCACGAAAGAAAGCTGTACGGGATTGGCTTTTCTTAGTCCTTCACGACTCCCTGGTTGGGGTCCGAGAGATGGTGCAACACAGTGTCTAGAGACGTTATCAGATATAGCTCAGAATAGAAACCAATGGCGATCGTGCTGCAACCTTCTCTTACTTTCTTCATAAAAAGTGGTTGTATCTTCCTTAACTGAAAGATTTCTTCTGGTTGTACCTTTCTGTTTCCCCCATTATTATTATTATTATTATTATTATTATTATTATTATTATTATTACACTTCCTTATAATAATCTGGCCGTTATTGTTCCTCTTCTTTTTTTCTTTTACGCTCCTTACCTATTTTTCTCTTCGAATTCTCATTGGTTTGTGTGGCGCATATATACCTGGTGCTTTCTTGTACCAATTATTATGTGTTCAAATAAATAATCGAAATGGCTACTGTGTATTACATAGTCTATCGAAGTACTCAGTCTTTTGCTATCAAGATGAAATACGTGAACGTCATATGCACCACTTGAATCGAGATTTGTAAAATGCATTATTTATGGTGCCATTAGTAATAGTATAGAATTGTAGCCGAATCCTATGTTCGATATTTCGGATTTTACGCGTCGCTCAAACATCTAATCTTGGTCTTCGAGTGAAATTAACGTCGAAAGACTTAATTCGATTTCGTCACTGTTCATATTTACCACTAACCTTCTTAAACCCAATATAATGTGCAAATTGCCAATATATACACAATAATGTAGCTAAGTGTCGAGGTTTAAATAGCATGCAAAACAACGTAGCATTTTCAAATTTCAACGATCATTGGATGTACCTCCTTGCGTTGGCTTATTTCTTTTAAAAAAAGCCTAAGCGTTGAAAACTGCGCTGAGAAAGTTATCTAGATGTACTGGGTTTAGCTAGATGAACACCAAGTATATTTTTAAAAATCAGCGATCCATTCTGATTTAATTTATGAGTCATATTACACGACATACGAACACAAACACCAGTGCAGTAACAAAATTGAGCAAGTTAAATATCCACAATTCCACCTCTTGTCTCTTCGCTTATTTTTGTGTTACACTGAACTACTTAATTAATATTTAATATTTAATGTCATTGTCAATAAATTTTGGAGTTTGCAACATGACGTTTCTCTACTGTGATATTATGCAATTGTTAAGGATTTGTATATACCACCGATGTCTTTACTCATTTTCTTATTTGTGATAGTATTTCACCCCACCTTTACGACTCATTCTCTATTTTCCGTGTTTCTTTTTTAAATTTGACGATTGGAAACAACTCACTCCCTGTGTTGTCCATCGATTCATGGTATGCGGCGTTCTACATTAATTTTTATGCGATTAGTCCGAGAACGCAATTTCTTATTGATTATCCTTTCCATCTATTACCAATTCTTGGATACCACAGAATTCAATATGTGTAAATTTATTGCTTATATTGTTTGCGTAATATTATCGTTATTCAGACAAATACAGTATTTTGATTTACCCATCAGAGTCTTAGAGATTTCATACCTTTGGGGATGATTTTGAATACTTATTACATTTTCCGTTGATACCTTATTGCATCACAACTTGGATGTATTATAAATAAATACAATAGAAATAATAACTAGGAATGATATTTTTAAAAGGATAACTTTTATTATTTTGAAATGTATAATGAAAAACAAAGAAATATATACTGTGATGGACAATCTTCGGGACCGTTGTGGTGTTATTCTGGCTGTAGAAGTTCAGGTTTACAACGGGTCAGAAGGGAGGACAGTTCTGCCTTATGCTTTTGAAACTTCACTGAATTAGGAATGTTCAGTAACTCGATTCATAACCGTCATTATGTTCGAAGGACTGATTATATCTAGTGACAACATCATGCTAGTATAGCTGAGGTCTGGCAATGTGTGTTCGGGCACAGTGACGACAACTCAATTGATGTCACTATCTTGAAATACCGAATTCGGTGATTTAAACATATTATTCCAACAACTTTCGCACTATGTATTAAGTGCCTATAGTGGCACTGAGTGGAAAAAGAGGAAGGATCGTCAGCTTATAACATGGAGCCGTAGTGTGAAAGAAGGATTATATGACTATTATCACAACTTCCAGGTTAAGATCCTAGAGATAGCCCAAACAAATGAAATTTTTCTCTACATTCTTCATAAAAGCAAAACGAAATCACTTTATTGAAAGAAATTCTTCACCGTTATATTTTTAACTGGACTATAACTTAATACAACAGGTCATCGACCAAATGCTAAGTGCACGCGATTGGCCAAAACTTGATATTCTTTCTAAGGAATGGGGTACATTCTATTGCTGAAAAAGTGTGACTTAAATATATATATACTTCCAATCACCCCCCCCCCTTGCAAACCTTATTTCTCTTCAATGTTATTTCTTTATTCCTTGTAGTGCATATTATTTTTGTGACCAGCTTTACGACGATTTTGTCATATTAAGTAAAATAAAACACTTCTAAACAAAGCGACCACAATTAAGGGGTTAAATTTTCCCTTTGTTGATATTAGGGACTGAGATCGATTAGTATCTACTGTTATATTTCCATACTTGACAGATCGCAACGATGCTAAACTTAGTAGTAAATTGAATATATGGTTGAAATAAGGTTAACAGTTAAAATCTGGGAAGTGTGTTTTGTCCTATTTGGGACTTATCAGGTGGATGTAGCACCTACAACCCAATGTTGATGTTCATATTGATTACAATTCAATAACAATGGCTTTGAACAACAACACGATATTCACTAAGCTACTTGCTCTAAACAATCGATAACCTGTTCAACAGGTATTGAGACATTAATAAAAGTTTGTAATTTGCTGTTATTGAGATCAGGACTGAAATTAACCGGTCTCTGTTGACATACTTGCATCCTGAGCAAATCTCATTTCGCTACAGGTCTTAGTATACTCGAATCAATTATCCATACTTTGAAAAAAATGTTGAAAATAATCCACAGACTTACATTCAAAATCATATTCCAGATAATCACGAACAGCTTCAGTTGCTCGACTAATTAGTGAATTATCATCAACTGAGGAATTTGATATGTCAGCAACTGTTTCATTTTTTGTAATTGGATTATTTTTACCTTGTGAATTTTTTTCCATTTTAAAAGTGATGGAGATTCTAAATCGTCTTGATATAGATAAGTAAATAAATAAAATGATATCACTTACTTTGAGTCTGATAAGTAAACAATATCTAGCTTTACAAACTGTAATACTTGAACATTGGTGTTGAACTCGATAACATTGCCATTACATAGAGTAGCTAAATATAGAGTTTTTAAAAAAAGACGAATAAATAAATAAATACTAATCTTGTTAAGATTATATGAGAAGTTTAAGAGCATCTCCCTACCGATTATTTAGAGCCAAGGAAGCTCCCGATACAACCAATGGGCTAAATCCAGATTTCAGGTTGAACTACGGACAATGTATATTTATATACCAGAAAATAATCATTAGTCTGTTTGAGCGGTGTATGAACAACAGATATTTTCGTCGAAGTTCTAAGCAAAACAGAAGTCAGTGACTAAAATGACTAAGGGTTGTGTAGCTTAAAAGCAATGAATCCGAAATCGATCATGTGTTGCTATAGATGGGTAACAATAGACATAATTCCAGTATATAGTTTAGTTGGTCTAGACAACATCCAAGATTTCTAAGTCACATCAATGTACACAGTGATAAGTTAAACAGTGTCATTAAACAATCCTGTTTGCCTTTCATATTTGTTATGTAAATCAAAATATTAACCGAACAGTGAATGTATGCAAATACTCTTCAATAGAACCTGTATTATGCTCTCATTGATCCATGACCTAAATCCAAACTACTGAAAAGACAATGGTTTGTTAACACTGATGGACGACAATACAGACAAAATAAAGTAAGTATTCCAATCATTTGTTAAGGTATGTTTGAAAACCAGCCATTTAGGACATGAGTTTAAATGTGTCAGATTCAAGGGTTTTCGCGTTTCTCAAAGATAAAAACTGCGATTTTTAAAAAATCCCTTTTGAAGTGATTAGCGTTGTAATCCGAAATTTGCATTCGAAATTATAAGGTTCATGATAGAAAGAAAAGTCAATTTTCGATTGCTTTACTCATTATGAGTTTTATTCAACATTCAACATCCGTTTTGATTCAACGTGTTGATCATTCAGTGTAGTATTTGACTGTTTTCCCAGTATGATATTTTCTTCTGTATAATATACGATATTCTTGTATTCGATTGAAATGAACTATGCTCAATATATGATTTGTTATATATGTGATTTCATCCTAATTATTAATCAAAATGTGTACAATCAATATATAAACCAGTGTATTTTAGACTACATTCGTTCGTTGTCGTCGTCATAGTGTTTGGGTTTAATAAATCTTCACTTATACCAGTCTTGTGTTCTTACTTTCGCATCGTGTGAATTGCTGAGGTCCATCGTTCCGAGTATAAATGATCAGCGTTTTTCCGGCACAGCAATCAGCGACGACCAAATATAACAGTTCAACTACTATACTCAATTACTAACTAACACACGGTAAAAAAAAATGAATTTTTTTTTAAACTCCCAAGCTTTCTCACATTACATACTATCAATGTAATCCATAACAATTCAGACAAACAAGCATACAGTAAAATCATTCAAGTAAACGAAATAATTAGAAGAGAACACATTGACAGAACTCAAAATTAAGCTAATTCTCTATATTTTCTTTCATTTCAACAGAAAAATAAAATGATACTGAAAAACGACGTAAGAAGAAAAATGAATATGAAGTTTTTTTCTAAAAAACAAATTATCTGATGTGTACAGGTTATAGTATACATTTAGGCGAGCGGGTGTGTGCGTGCATGGGTACATATACAATCAAACAAAAAATAAGTATCAACATAAGAATCTTAATTACATGGATCTATTTGTTTATTTCTTCCGATTTAAAAATGATTGAATGCGTTGTTTGGTATCATTGAATTGTAAATTTTTTACCATCGCATCTGAAGCTATTGCATAAGCATCCATTAATGGCATAGAAGCCTGTTAGGTTAAAAAAATAAAAACAAAATGAAAACCCAAATAAAACACTAGTAAGAAGGGTCTGTGTTTAACTATTGTCGATACCAGGGACTATTAATGCCCCCTAATGCCATGATACAACCGAAGGTTGGAAGAGTCCGCTCCACCTCTCGAAATGCTCTCATATATAACCATGCGTATACAGCCACTACCAGGAAAGTCCTACTCACTGCTTTCTCGTGGAGGAAATTGAGGACAAAAATCTAATGTCCCATCAGTTTGGTGGATACGGAGGATCCATCTAGGACATTTGGAAAACCCTGATTCCAAACCAATGGTATACATGGGCTTCAGGATCCTGATGGGACAAATGGCGTATGAACCCATACTTGATCACTGGGTGCCATGAAACTGCATCTCCTAACGTTAATCCACTGCCTTGCGGATTAGATCTCAGTCAGTCAGTCAGCTACAACGTAGGACCAGGCACATATATGCATCGGTCCAGGTTGCCATACCTCATTAGCACAGCAAGATGAACACCGGATTCATAGGAGTGGTTAGGTCAAAGGTTGCAATAAGGATATAGTATAGGAAGAAAGAATTAGTTCGTAGACAGAAAGAATGAAGTGATTTTAGTCTCTTAGTTTAAGGGAAGACAGGGAGTGTATACACCGACGCCACTGTGATCGATTCTGAGCCATGTCACCAACAGTCTCCAACCATTGGTTACGAAAGTCACGCGGACCCCAACCAAGTAGTCTGCATCTACCAACGTGGCTCAGACTAGAAGTTAGTGACTTCAGGCACTGATGCCACGTTTTGGTTTGGCCGCCCCTAACTTTATTCCAACCATCCCCTACCCCGGTTAGCATTGCACGTCGTGGTAATCGGTGTTCAGGCATACGTAATACGTGGCCCAACCATCTCAGTCGATGAAGATTCATAACCTCATCAACTGATTTACCATCATTCCCTAATACCCTGCGTCTAACCTCGCTATTACTTACCCGGTGATCCCAGCAGATGCCAGCAATATTTCTAAGGCATCTGTGGTCAAATACTAGTAGCTTACGGGTGTCTTCTACTCTTAAGGGCCATGTTTCGCTGCCGTAAATTAAAACAGAACGAACTGCCGCGCAGTATACTCGTCCTTTTATTGATAGACGGATATCTCGCCTTCGCCAAAGGTGACGCAAGTTGGCAAAAGCCAAACGAGCTTTTCGAATCCGTGCTGAGATTTCGTCCGATACCAACCCATTAGGGCTGATCAGACTTCCAAGATAAGTGAAGTTGTCAACGCGTTCGACTACTTCACTCCCTATCCTTAGTTCAGGTGTTGACGCAGACCAGTCCTGAAGCAACAACTTGCATTTAGAGGGAGAGAAGCGCATCCCAAACATTCTGGCATTGTTGCTTAGTGCTACCAGAAGACTCTGCATTTTATCAGCGTCTTCACCAAACAGGACTATGTCATCTGCGTATTCTAAGTCGATAAGTGGACCTCCTGTTAGGAGATCAATACCCGAGAATTCAGTCGACGAGAGTGTTATTTCCATCAATAGGTCTATGATGAAGTTAAACAAAAATGGAGAAAGTGGACAGCCTTGACGGACACCACTTGAGGTTGCAAAAGTAGATGACAGTTCGCCATAAGCCCTGACTCGACTAGTAGTGTTCGAGTAAAGAGCCTTCACAAGGTTAATGTACTTCTGAGGTACGCCTTTCAATGACAGACACTGCCACAGAGTCTCGCGGTCTACCGAGTCAAATGCTGCTTTTAAGTCAAGAAAGACCACCATCGTCGGACGCCGATAGGTATGCCTGTGTTCTAGAACCTGACGAATGGTGAATATGTGGTCGATGCAGCCACGACCAGGTCTAAAGCCAGCTTGGTTCTCTCGAGTTTGTAGTTCACGAGTCTTAGTTAGGCGTTTGATAATTATCGAGGCCAGTATTTTAGAAACTATGTTTGTTAAACTAATCCCTCTGTGGTTGTCACAGGATGATTTTGACCCTTTCTTATATATTGGGACGATAAGTGATTGCGACCAGTCAGATGGGATAAAGTCTAATTCCCAGATCTTAGCTAAAATATTAGTCAACTTAATCGCTAAAATTGGACCACCATCCTTAAAGACCTCTGGAGCCAATCCATCTGGACCAGCTGCCCTTCCTCGTTTCAGATTAACTATAGCCTTTTGAACTTCAGCAAGAGTAGGGGGACCTATTTCAATGTTCCATTCACACTGTCTGGGAATGGAGGGTAGTTGTAGAGTAGCTGAAGGCCAGTTGAACTGTTCTCTAAAATGTTCCGCCCATCGTTCTAAACGTCTGGACTGGGAGCAGATGAGAGTATCATCTTTTTCCGAAATAATCTCACTTACACTTGACTTACTAATTCCAGTTTCTTTTATTAGTCTGTAAAGCTGTCTTGTGTTCCCTATAGTCGCCGCCTTTTCCATCTCTTTTGCTTTCGTTACCCACCACTGCTCACGGTTGTTCTTTAGACTTTTTCTTAACCTAGATCTGATTTGTTTTCGCTCTTCATCATGTTCAGAGCCTGATGGGATGAGTTTACGAGAATACATCAGTACAATAGACCTTGAGAAAATCCATCGGTTCTTTGTAACCCTGTGGTTTAAATCACTAATAGATGTCACTGCTGTTTCCACAGCTGTTTGTATAGCTTTCCAAGCAACATCTGGATCAACCTCGTTTTCAGAACTACCTAATTGTGACCTCAGTTGTTCCTGGAACCTACTTTTGGTTTTCTCGCTGCTCAATTCAGTTCTAACGGGTCTTTTTAATGTGGCTTTTTTGCGTCCAGTGAGGCGCAAGCAGATGCGTGCCCGTATTAGGGCATGGTCGGAGTCCAAGCAGGTACTCCAGAATGAGCGACAATCTTCTACCGACCCTCTCCAACGATGACTGATGGCAATATGGTCTATTTGAGTCCATCGTTGGTTTGGTGTAGGGGGTCGCCATGTTAGACGATGTCTCTCCTTATGCTTAAAATTTGTGTTTGCTAAAAATAAACGATTGTCTGAACATAGCTGCAGCAGACGCTCACCATTGTCTGTTCGCTGTGTCGGAATACTAAAATATCCACCTAAATGCCTTTCTGTTTGGTTTAAACTGCCTATCTGAGCATTAAAATCACCTGCTACGAGTACTATGTCTGAGCGTTTAGCTTTCTGAAGAAGTTCGGACAGCTTTCTGTAAAATTCATCTTTCACATCATCTGAGCTGCAGTCAGTGGGAGCGTATGCAGAAACGACAAAAAGGCAACGACGTGTGTCCCTATCCTTCCGAGTTCTTACGTAGCCGTTCAGCCGAACAGCACATAGACGACTGTTGACGGGGATCCACTCTAGCAGTGCTTGTTCCGCCCTCATGCTTAGTGCTATGCCTACACCTGCCAGTCCACGAGAACTTGCCATCGGGTCACCAGATACACGAAGGGTGTACCTCGTTGGCTCTCCGTTTTGCCGAGGTGAGGTCAGGTGAATGACCACACTGGAATCCTGTATGCGTGTTTCGGAGACACAGCACACGTCAATGGTAAGAGACTCTAGGGTTTTAGCCAAGGAAGCCTGCTGACCAATTTGACATAGGGTTCGTACGTTGAAGGCTCCAATGTGTAGTTTGGAGCGAGGTTTCAGTAGACCTGGGACAGTATTTTGCGCACTAGAATCGTTGGCTATGGTGACACTTGAGGTGGAAGCCGAGAGAGGAAATTTAAAGTTGAAAGTCGATGTAGGAGGAATAATAGGAATTGAAGAGGAAGGTTGATTATGAATACAGTGGTCTTGAGTGCTGTTAGAGGTATGAGGGCGGTTTTCACTTCCCGGTTGCCCACACCGTGGAAGGGTTGTTCTGGAGGTACCTGAAAAGGAATTTGGATTAAAGGTGGTCTTAGTGACCTGAGAGCGTGACCGCAGTGCCCAAGGGACAACTGCTTGAGGTCGGTCACACACGACCTTGTTATGGGTAATTTTTGTGTTAGCTCCGTACTTATTGGGACCTTACCGCCGGAGACGGATATCCGTGGGATAAGGCGAGGTGTGCATTTTTAGGGTCGACCTTTTCTAACCCCACCCCTCCTTGTGGGAAGGCAGCATCGCTGTCATGCTGGTTGTCTGAAGGAAACACCTTACTGCTGTCACACCTCTGTACAGTCAGCAGTACGACTTCGCCTTCGGACCTTGGGTTTGTTGCTTTTAGTCTTACCGCTCTTCAACCGACCTGTCTGACATGGTAGGACCTTGAGGAACGGTTGTTCCAGCCAGTATAGCTCGGTTGCTTCATCACGATAGGCAAGCCCGACCACCACATCAAGGTAGCAACAACGGTCGGGGCGGATTAGATCTATAAACCAAAGGTTCAAATGATAGCTCCCTGAGAAAACCACCTGCTTCTGTTTGAGCGCCGCGTAGCATCCAAGCCCACACACATGAAATGATGAGTGTGACGCATATATATTTTATTGTCCCTTTATATAAATCTTCTAATTGAACGCTTGAATCGGTTTCCTAGGCTCTTCTAATAACCTCAGGCTAAATCTACACGGCGACTTGAATACGAGGGAAAACGCGCGAAGTGTAAAAAGAACACATTACTCCAAGGTTAACAAAGGTATGGAAAAGTAAGGGTATTTATACTATTACAGGTGGCTTTGGGCTTCTGGAATCATACTAACTATAGCAGTCTCATGGATAATTATCCAACCCAAGCTGCGGCATATGTTTCTGTTTTTCAGATGTTTCTGCGAAAATTCTATTCGACGCCGATCGGATAGCAAACTTACTGGGATTTCTGGACCACTAAGGACTCGTCGAGAGATATTTTCGGGGCTATCCTAACACCTTTATACCAATATTTGTGTTTAAATAGACCAAATAAATAAAAAAGCACTGATAAATTTATCTAAGCCGCCAAATGTGTATCCTTGAAGCGGATTGTCTTGATGTAGTGTTACGTGACAAGTTTCAGTACATTTTGTACATATCAAGCAGTGGAAACCACGGAGCGTGTTTGCTGAAGTAAATCAAACTGGGATATGTATAACAAAACTTGCATAATTTCATTAATGTCATCTAATATAGAATAGGTGGAATGTAACTAACAGTAGGACGAAACATGCATCCTAGATTCCACTGTTAGCCACATTCCAACTATTCTACATTAATAAATTGGATAGCTATCGAGCCACTTTGTCGACTTCGCTAAGAAGTTTCAAAATAACCTCCATTAGTTGAGGTAGTCTTAGTATATTAACTAGCTTCTAGAGATTTTTCCGTGGAATTATTGGGGAGAGTCAAGATTAGAAAATCAAATCCAAATATAATATGTGATCGGGATTTTATTATTTTTAAGGTATTGCAAATGATTTCAAACTGTTTCTCGTAGATGCAAGTCGCCAACTTTACAAAATGACATATATACAAGGACAACGAAAACAAATACTTAAAACGTTTACACTCCTTTGTCAAGTTAGTCAGCATTAAAATATACAGTCATAGATTTAAAACAAACTGTATAGACTTCTATTTTAGCGCTCATTTAATATCGTCAGATTATACATGATACATGGTAGTTGAAATAAATGCACTATAATTTTGATCCAAAGTTAGTATCTATCTCTATCTATCAGTTGATTAAATAATTCATAACTGAGTAACTATTTCTAATTACATGTATCTGATTATCAACAAAACGTGATGGATTAATGCTTCACACAATAGTCCACAGGAAAGAAAATCATCTGGTAGAAGCGGGACGATGCAGAAAAATACTTAACCACAGAAAAAAGCAAAATTATTTATTTCCAATAAACTTACTTGTTTGTGAAGAGTTTCTCGACCTAACTGTACAACATCTTTATTATGTTGAGTAATTTCTTTGGCGAATTCAATAGACGCTTCATATAATTTGTCATCTTCAACTACACGATGAACAAGACCCAATTCGTAGGCTCTATCAGCACTGATAGCTTTGCCTAAAAAAAATGTTTTGTTTCTTTTCAGAAAAACCTCAGGGAACAGGATTTTTATAAGACTGAATACATTGCTGAAAAATCATACGAGCAAAAATGTAAGATTATTTGGTTGGAAAGTTCGTGGGGATTAGTCCAATTTAAAGAGATTTTCATCAAGGCCTGACATTACCTAGTGCAATTAGTAACTGGTGAAATCCCAACACGGATGCGAAAATCCCGTCTTTTCGTCATTTTGTGTCGCCACTTATGGAGATGAGATATCCACTTGTCTATCGAAAGACAAGCATACTTGATATAAACGGAGAAACAAAGAAGCTATGACAAACAACGGAAGCCATTTTTGGGGTGTTGTTTCACTTAATTCGAAGCTTGTAAAACAATAACATTTAGTTTTATCCCTAGTTAGTATATAAACCATAAGCTTTCGTTTGATGTATGACTAACTACCATAACTTTTTCTATTCCAAAGCCGTCGCAATTTAAACGTAACGTTTAGTACTCTATTTTCTACCCTAATGACCAGCTTGAACATAATTGTATTTTCGTAATTGTTTGTACGTTGTGGACATGTCAGATATCTATTTATTCGTGTATATTTTTTTACGCTTATGTGATTTTGGAATCGGAAATTATTCATGTGGTCCAGTTGACTCATCATTTCTCTCGCTTGTCAACCAACCAAGTGATAGAATAGTTTTTCGCCTCTCTCTACTCAAGGCCGTTAGTCTCGACTGGGACTTACGCATTTCTAGCCCCAAGGTTAAACCAGTTGGCCTATCATGTTAAGGCCTCAACCTATATCGAGACAACTTCTCTCCTCTATGTTATTGATTAAACAGACCAAAGACGTAACAAAAGTGACAACAGAGAATTTTTGTTTCGATCGCTCCGGAACAAAATGTCTACATCATTGGACGACCTTAAAACTACTCTACAAATTCAGCAAGCGCAGAGTGATGCAAATTGAATGAAGCTTTTGGACGCATTAACGCAGAAGCTCTCCTTTCATTAAACTTCAACCTTTCAATCAGATAAATATGAAAGCATTGCAAATTCCATTTGTGGATTCAGCTATAACCCTGAATCTGGTATCATATTCGATTCTTGGTTTCATCGTTTCGAAAACATATTCCGTGTCGAATACTCAAATCCCGATGACGAAGTTAAGTTCGCTTACTCCTGAGAAGACTTGGAACACGTGAATATAATAAATATGCGAATTTCATCTTTTAACAACACAGTCCAAATATTACCTAAAATTTCTGGGGAACAATCCTCATCACTCAACATTCGCTACTAGTAAATAAGAACTTTCGTCTAAATCTGAACGAATAGTTTCACAATATTTGGGCGCCGAGTCAATGTGAGACATTAAAGAGGAAGAATGTATTTGTAAAATCTCAGCGAAAGAATTTGAAGTAAATCCAACGTTTCCAATAATAATATTCGGTAATTCTGTTGTTTGATTATATTTTCCTTGAAAAAAGCTTGAACCAGATTGCCAGGCGAAACGTTGGATTTCAAATTCTTTCGCTGAGATTTTACAAATACATTCGTCCTCTTTTATTCGCCACCAGTGTTTTGAAATAAAATCCTATCCAAGAATTATCTCACCTATGTTGGAAAAGTAAATCGAGAATGTGAACTATTTGAAATGAAATTACAGCGGATCAATTAAAATGCCTGGTTTTTATCTATGGATTAAAGAATCCAGAATATATGGGCACCCGCATTGAGTAGTAATCGAACACGGCTTTGCAAATGGTCACAACCTAGTGTCAACGTTTGTTAAACTTCAAATACGGTATCACAATGGTGCAACACAAGGCGTAACTGTTATGTTCTTAGCTTGTACGATTACCGCGAATACGATTGCCAAATTTAGATACGCGGATTTATACAATCAACAAATGACGCATACACCTGAACGAACGGCCTCGAGTCTCGACTGGCCCTTTTCCCTGCCTGTTAAATACAGAACACAAATCTCAGCCTCCGCGATATGAATCGTATATTCCAAAAGTACTGGGTTTATACATAAGCCACCATAAATAGAAAATAACAACTGTAAAAGATCAAGCCAAAAAGTGGCTGTGATTGCGGTTGACTGTAATTAATAAACTGGATATAACTTAAGAAAAGTAAGTCGTATGATAATAGTTTATAGGTCAAAATGAAGCTTATAATAAGAGGTATATGAATATACATAGTTTAGTTACTTAACAATAAAAAATAAACGGTATTAGTCCATAAATAGATTCCAACAGTTATCACCCATTATTCTCGTCGTGATATAACGGAAACATTCCGATTTCGGTTCAGTTAATGCAGTTAAATCCTCTAAATCTCTCAAACAAAGCACAGCAAGCGCATAATAACCTGCTGACAAACCATCATCACTATGTTGGTTTCGTGGAGCATGGCATTTTGTGAAATTATATCCATTCAAGAATCACAAGTGCCGCCACTGTCATCGCATTGGTCATAAAGAAGGTCACTGACCAGCAAATAAACGCCAGTCAAAACTTCGTAGCGGGAATATGAAACGAAATTCATAGATCCAAATCAAGGAAGTATGTAAACTTATTAGTGAGTGGAAAATCTATTTGTCTTCGGCTAGACACGGCTTCCAACGTTACATTGATTTCTAAAAACACGTGGCGTAAGCTAGGATGCCCACGCATTCAACTAACCGAACATGTTGCCCGAAATGAACCAGGAGATATAGTGAAGCTAACTTAAGTCATGTGCGAGGTAAAGTTCAAATAACATATATTTGATAACGTTTGTTATCTGACGAGTCGGTATGATTTGTATCTAGTAGGCTTAGACTGAATCGAGAAGAATGTTACTTCGAATAGTTCATTAAACGAGGTATTTTCTCATAAGCCTTCCTCTGAATCTATTCAAATTTCTCGTAATATTTCTGAGTCATACATTACAGTCAGATTGCAAGCAGCAAACTCAAGGTCTGAGGACAAATTCGTACAACTAAATGTACAGAGGTGTGACAATAGCAAGTAATTTCTCTCAGGAAACCAATTTCTGAAGCAATTTTGCTTCCCCACAATGAAAGAAAGTCAAAAAAGATCGACCCTATGAATACCACCACTTACCTTGCTCCACAGATTTCCGCCATCGGTGAAGACTTTATCATTACGAACCTAACATTTAACTATTCATAAACAGGTTGTGAAACCACTAAGATGTCGCTTCTAATATCTAGTAAATGCTATTTAAGCTTTAATATTTGATCACAGAAACTTAGTTGAGAAATTTTACGGAATACTTTCTGACAACCAAGCTAATTACAGGTGTAGAAAGGATGTATTTTTGATACCTATTAAAAGCTTTAATGTAAGAAAAATGTTATTTCCTTTGTATTGGACCCATCATCACTTTGGTAGGCATCTATTTCAGTGAAGCTGAAAGTCAGCACAGAGAACCGGACATAGTTTTCCCTTTAATTGATTAATCATCATCCACCAGAATATTAGTCAGTCAGTCAATCAATGTACATATTTGTACATAGTATGTTGACCCAAGTCGCCATATTATTAACACAACGAGAAGAAATCAATAGGACGAGTAGCAAATAAGTTGAAATGATGTAACAGCAGTGATAATGAGAAAGATCAAGCGTTGAGAACATGGTCCGAAAAAATAGAAAAAAATGAAGTGAATCCACCACGGCCATTGTGATCAATCCTCAGCCACATCACCCAACGTCTCTAGCACAAAATCCCTAACCATCGGTTGCTAGAATCGCAAGGATGTCAATCAGGTAGTCTGCATCTATCGGCAAGATTCAGAACAGTCAACAGCTTCGTGGTCTGTTGTTACATATTGGTTTGACCGCTGATAGCATCGTCCTAACCATTTCTGTACTAGCAAGTAGCGTTTATCGAAGTAGGCAGCGGCTCAATATATATAATACATATCAAAACCATCTCAGTTGATGACTTAAAACCTAGCCAATCGATCTGCTACATTCGCCTTATATTCTGTGTTTAATCTAAACCCTGCTCACTAGTCATTCCACGTAAAGATAGAAATGCTTCGAAGGCAACTATGATAAAAAATTTTTAGCTTATGCATGTCTTCTACTCTTAAGGAAAATGTTTCGCACCAATAGAATAATACAGAATGGATTGGTATATATATATATATATATATATATATATATATATATATATATATATATATATATATATATATATATTGATTACCTGTTAAGAGTAGTTCATTAGCAGCTCGTAACCCGATCGCTCGAACTAATGATACACCAGGTGTACTACAGAATAATCCTAGTTTAATACTACTGGCTGAAAATATCGCAGATTTGGCTGATATTGCCAAGTCACAAGCTGCAACTAATTGACAACCTCCAGCGACAGCAGGACCATTTACAGATGCTATCGATGGTATAGGAAATTCAGTTAATTTCTCCATAATCTATTAATTCAGAATTTAAACAACAACAAGTTCAGGATACATAAATTTGTCTGTAAAAAGACCTGATGAAACAATGCTTATTTATTTATTGGTTGAAAACAAAGACTTTTGTAATCAACTTTACATTCTATGCTTCTTTTCACGACAATTAATCGATAACTGGGTAGTGACCAATGTGATGTATTTCAAGTCTTTATTTAGTGCCTATGGAATTCTATCAAACAAGTTGCAATGTAGCCTCTAGTCTAAGCAACTCGATATCCCGTACATTATGTTGAGATGTAAGGTGATGGTTGGAGTTAATCGATGGAAAACACTGGATATTTGATACTTTCCCACAAGGTGTATCGGTAATCTTAAGATAAATTAAGCTCCCTGGTGCTCAGTCGATTGTAAATACGCCTCAAGCTTACTGGTTATTCGTGGAGCGGATAGTTCAGTGACCACGTCTCTGACTGTGAAGCTGGATGAAGCGAGAGCATCAGTCCCCTTAAGGTTACAGGTACATGTTGCTTACGAATACCAAATAGCACGGAACTTAGGTCCACGGTTTCCCGTCAACTATACTCAACAATTACCTCACACTTTTTTCTCGAAATATCTTTGATTATGTAGCGATGAAACACTTCTATTAAACAAAGACACTGATAAAAAGTTCCCTAGATTTGCTGAAGCAACATGGAATTATTCAAGGTATACACTTATGACCTTGCTGTAGATTAAGACTAAGGTATGGAATTTTCTGGTTTCGGGGGACTGAGAGATTTTTTTCAAAACAAAACGGAGTCTATAAGAACTAGACAAATCGGATAACCAATACATAACACTTCAGTCATTAACGCACCGTACGATGGATGAAATATAATAAAAGTCTTGTGAAAAAGATGTACTGCTCAAGACCACAGAATAATTTAACTACATTCGAGTTAGTTGAATTGTATATCGACTATTGAATACAAAATTTATCAAAATTATTAATCGTCACTTTAATGTAAAACTACAGCGCATTAATATAACGGAAATGCATGGAGAACAAATTAACTGCATACTGGGTAAATCGACACATGAAAATATATTGAAAATCAATGAGCGAAGTTCACCGAAAACCAATGTGAATTGATCTTTCCCTACGTGTAGTAGCACTTACGGATTTAAAATCTTCAACAATATTACTAATTAAAGATGATTTCTTAGAACTGGTTTTGACTATAGGGATTTGAATAACTGTGTTTATCATATTAATACTTTAGTTATAAGGATAGATTCATGTGGACTGGTGGTAAATGAAAGATCTAACTAGTATTTATCACTTTGCATGGTCCACACTCATGATAACAAAATCTGAGCAAAATAATCGTATATACCACAATAAATTACTCTACTTTACTACATGGCGTTAAAAAGTTCAGTGAATTTGGTACTCAGCGGTTTTTCGACACAATACTGACATTAAGTTCGGCCATAGACGTAAAGCACAAGACAACAGACGTGTACTGATCTATATAGTTTCAAACCATCAACCAAAAGGAGTAAATTACTTCACACACTGTACATATGAGAAAACCCATTGTTGTCCAAGGTGACCACGAAAAAGAGAAAACATTAGAAAAGTGAATTTTAGACGTGACATTAATTCATGAAGTCGTTAACTACTGTCTTGAGATATGTTAGAAATGAGATAGTTTCACAATATGGTTGAAAGTTAGTTCTTGTGTGACAAAAACATGTTTCTTATTACATACAAGTAGCCAACCATTTCATTATTATAACCTTACCTAACTACTTCGTACTTCCGCTTTTCTTCTGAGTCACCACTTCATTTTCTTTAATTATCTAGCTCAGGAGTGTGAAGGAATGAAACCAAACATTATTGCAAAAGGTTCTGTGTCGACTTAAATGAATGTAATATAGCAAGTGTAAGTTAATGAAGTCAGCTTTATGCCACATATTTTTTATATCTACTGATACTACCCGGTTGATCAAACCAAATAGGATGTATATGGGTTTGATCATCCACATTTCATTAAACAGTATTATACAGAATTAAGGATATTTAATAAGTTTAGATAATCAGTAAGCTTAGTAGTCATCACTCTGAACCATATACGAACATTGTAAGCTTTTTTGCGGTGATATATAAACTTCCTAAAACCATTTGTTGGGATCTTGTTAATATTGTCACAATATTGTGTTGAAAATACGCTACACGAGGTAAGATGACAATATTATAAGAGAACAGTAGGGGTTAAACAACCAACGAAAAAAAATATGAATAGTGTATATTAAATAATTTGACTGAGTCATATCTAATAACACCTCGATTCAATGAGTTGCACACCATCTTCAGTCCCATACAGAAGGCCATAATGAGTCAACGACCCGTAACCAAGTACAACTATACTTTATTGCACATTTCAAACTGACCACTGCGTCGCTTTGCCGTTCTGCATTAGTGACGTCAAACGATACACGATTTGGAAGTCTTTGGCGTGAAATGCATGAAAAGCGATCAAGCCATCAAAATCCTGTGTTCCGAGATCTTAACACCAGTCGAATTATCATGTTAGAACACGAATATCCGGACCTCAGTATTGACGTAGTTCTCTAAGTGTAGCTTTCTGTATTTAGCTTTGAGCCGTGCTTTATCCGTAAGGGCTAGCGATAATACCCAGTAGACTATACAGAAATAGGTGACAAAGGACTCGAGTCCACAACCTGGTGATTGAAAATCAAACGCCCTAACAACTAGACTACAACAATATTACTAATGTAATGTTCTCACTGAATGTAAGTAATCGGTCAAATACAGTTACAGATACTTATCCTATATGGCCCAGGTTGTCTATAGTAAATGATTTAGTTACTCAAACTTGATCGAGCGAAACAGTAAGATTAATAGAATATAAATCAATTTACCTCTGATGCTGTTGAAAATACTTTTTTAGAGTTTGTATCAGAAAACTTGATAACCTCGTGAAGATTATGTCCAGAAGAAAAAAATCCTCCTTCTCCAGTAATCACTAAAGCTTTAATATTCTGCGACAACTTGATCGAATCCAAAACCATGAGAAGTTCTTTCATCAACGGCAAAGAAAGTGAATTAGCACTCGTAGGATTATTCAACGTTAAAATATGTACCTCGTTATCGATTGTCGCCGATTTAATATAAGACTTGAAAAATGGGATGAATAACAAGTAAAGAACAAACCAGATGTCGTACGAAACGAAGACGAAAACATGAGAACAATTTCGATGGGTTTACATATAATACACATGGAAGATTCATTGTAGTTTAGTCAATATAGTGATGACTAGAATGAGCCTAAAAATGGAGGAAACAATAAACAGTGGTAATTTATTTCATTTTGAATAAAGGATTTGCACATGGTCAGGGGGAAACAAATATTACATTCTTGATCCTGAAAAACTTGAGGAAATCAGTAAACCGCATTGAACATAGCCTTATTACTGATAGGGACAGGTTAATAGATGGAGTTCCTACGATCAGGTAAATTTTGAAAAACAAAAGCTAACCTTTCAGCAAAATTACAGGCCCTACGACTAAGTCATATATACTATGACTCATACTGTGTAATGAGACGTTATTTGTTAATAGGCCACTATATGGTATTAACCATGTTTTATTTCACCATAGTAGTTAGCCAGTATACAAGAATATGAATAAATACTTTGGGCAAAAACTCAGTAGAGAAGCATTTCAAGTTACACATTTAATTATGCGGATTTTAGAGACTAGGTGATTAATGAGAGGTTACAACAGATGGGACAGCGAGACTCTAATTTAGGGACGAGCCAATCAGAACCGTTTGAGCAATTTCAATTATTAGTCAATCAGAAGACAGCATTAAGTAAAACTATATTAAAAGAAAGTAATAAATTACAGTGGATATTCTTCTTTTACATGATTTAAAAACTCGTATGTTAGCATCCTAACCCTAACCTTAACCCTAACACTAAACCCTCACCCCACCCTAACCCTAAACCTTAACCCTCAACTAACCCTAACCCCTAACCTTACCCGTAAACCTAACCCTAACCCAATGGACGTGTTTCTATTCCATATGCATTGTGAATTCAGAACCTCTGAACCTTAATCAAACCTTAACAAGTTTTTAAATCATGTAAAAGGAGAATATCCACTGTAATTCATTACTTTCATATAATATATTTTCACCTTATACTAACTTTCTTCTGATTAGCTAATAATTGTCAAGGTCACTTAAGATTCGTTCGAAGGTCGTCCTTAAATTAGTTTCGCCGGAGGATGCATACAAGGACGAGCAAGCCCTACATGGACTGAATATGCGAGGCGATATAGATATTACGTCACATGAGAACCTCAGCCGTAAACATTCTTTTTTTACAACTGAGTCAGGAAGTTCGATCGCTGGCTAGTAAGCTGCCAAGGGTGGGAAGGCTGAGGCGTAAGGAACGTTCGCTTGACCTTGGATACGCCAGGTCCCGACTCCAACACGAAATATCAAGTTAAGACTAATGGATTTATAACTCTAACGAAGATTTTGTGCTGGAGGCATGTACAGACTAGTGTGTATGAAGAATTCTGAAATAAGGAAAAAAAGAATTAAGCCAATTTGCTTGATCGACTCAATGAATAACTGGGTTACACTAAAATTCAATGATGGAAGCAACCGTTCAAATACCACAATAGTACAGGAGAGTAAATAAGGCAATATTACAGGAACAACTGGAAGTTTTTAGACTGAGAATCTGATAACGTTACAAAACCCTGACTTATAGGTCAACAAGAAAGGGTAACACACACTTCAAAAACTCCGGGTTCTTGAAGACAGTCTTCAATAAGAAGAAAAGTAAATTGATTGACCTCCGTCAATCCATAGAGATTACTTTTTGATGAAAGTTAAGTTTGTCACTAAAAATGTTCAGTATTGGAGTTATTATCGGCAGTGACATGTAAATTTATTGGTTTTTGCAATTACATCAAAATATTTTGTCCCTAGGGACAATCAGCCGGAAGCTGACTTGTCTTTTCCCACGGAAGACTGTTGCTGACGGTACCTGGTCAACGTACACTAAGTATCTTACGTAGACAACTGTTTATAAATACTTGTGCTTTTTTATGATGGTTGTGGTAGTTTTCCACGTTTCGGCTCGTATTGAAGATTGTGACTTTGATATTGGTTGACAGACAGTTGTTTTTAGTTGAATATTTTATTTGTTCAACTGTAGGAATGCTGTCTTTCCTTTGCCAATCCTCTCCTTTACGTCTGCATCCGATCCTCCTAGTTTATTGGTGATGCGGCTGGCAAGATACATGAAAGATTCCACATCTTCCGGAGCTTCTTCATCAAGTGTGATGGGGTTGGTGTTCCCCATGTTCTATCTGAGGACCTTGCTTTTACCCCTGCATATGTTGAGGTCTGCTGATGCAGGGGTTGCTGCTACACTTGCCATCTTCATCTATCCTTCTTCCCTGTCCATCGGTATTTGCTCTTCCTCGCAAATCTTCCTGAATAGAATGTGGAGCATCTTTGAAGTTACTTATATGTCTGAGTTCAGTACCTCAGATGGTAAATAATCAGGTCTTGACGACTATGCTGATTTCTTCGGTCTTTGATTGAGTGACATCTATAGGCAGGTCTGTAGGTCCTGCCTGAATGTTGTCTAGGGTTTCCATAGAGATCCATTGCCTACGATGGTGCTTCTTTAGACCAAGAACCTCCTGACACTTTGAAGTTGATGCTTCTTCAATACCTTTCCAGTTGTCCTCCATAGTAGTTTCTTCTTCCTACAGTAAATCCTGTAAGGCTTGGAACCTGTTGTTGAGAGCTATTGAAGATGGCACAGGTATTCAGTGTTTGACAACTCTTTTACCAGTAACACCTAATATGATTCGTACCCACCAAGAGAAATCAAAAGACAGAGTCAAGGAGATCGGAAGAGTGTATTTGGCGATAACCAATATATCGGAATCCTCTGATTTAATCTGGCTAGCGATTGCGGTAATGTTGAGCAAGGCGTTCTCACAAGTGATCTGGTGCGGATGCCTGATCGAGCGTCTTCAGCTAGATGAGTCCACTAAAACATATGGTCAGCATCCAATGTCAAAAACTTACAGAGCTATTTATTTTGGGGATTTATTTACCGTTACACTATCTTGAATTCACTGAGTTTGTCAGTATCTCGAAAGAAGTCTGCATTGAACCTTTGTAGTGCTGTCTGTCCACTTGTTCAGTTCTATTTTGGCTTCATTTTTAAATTGGTCATACCTAGGTGGTGATCTGAAGCTATGTCCGCTCCTCTCCTGGTTCTCACATCTTCCATTGTCCTTCGGAATTTTCTGTTGATGCAAATATGATCTGTCTGGTTCTCTGTGGTTTGGTCCAGTGAGATCCATGTCGCTTTGTGTATACGTTTGTGTGGAAATATTGCGCCACCTGTGACTATTTTGTTGAATGCACACAGATTTGCAAATATTTTCCCATTTTCGTTTCTCTCTCCCAGTCCATGTCCTCCCATGATATCTTCATATTCGGTGTTGTCTATTCCGACTTTGGTATTTAGACCTCCCATCAGAATGGTGAGGTTGTTGCTTGGGCATTTCGCTGTGATTGCTTGTAGCCTCTAGTAGAACTGATCTTTAATGTTGTCATTGCTATCATTGGTGGGTGCATAACACTCATCGTGATTCCCTCCTTCGTTTTGGATGATGCTTTGATGATCCTAAATTCGTGGGATTCACATACTATAAGTGCATTTCGTACCTCTTTGGACAAAATTAGAGAAACGCTCAGAGTGTGTGGAGCATTTTTCTTTTCGTAACCGGAGTATAGCAGCATCTCTCCCGTGCTTGGCCTTTTCTTTCCAGCTTCCGTTCAGTGGGTCTCGCTGATTCCCAGAACTGCCAAGATGTATCTCTTCATTTCCGTAGCTATTTGATTGGTCTTCCTGGTCTCCCACATTGCCAGGAAATTCCGTGTGCCTAAAGTAATTGTTGCTCTTGGTGAAATCAGCCTTGTGGCTTTCGAAGAATCTCGGCTCCCATCATGAGGCGCCATCATTCTTACTTCAACTCAAAGGGCAGTGTTTAATTGGTTTAATTGTTTCGTCCTGGTTGGCGTTTTTTTAGCGATGTTGTTTTCTACGAGATGGGGTTTCCGACCGTCCTGTTTTATTATTATTATTGTTAGTATTATTAATACTATTATTATTCACAAACATCTTATGGGTACATATGTGTTGTAAAGAAACCATTTTGTGTTTCTTCAAAAATGAAATAATACACAAGTTTCAATAATGTTAGCATTATATTCGCCATATTTGAAAAAATAGATCAATAATAATAGAATAATAAATCAGGTTCTGTGTAGTTGAGAAGAATATTGAATTGAGTTTAAATAAGGAAAGAAAGAAAATAAGGGAATAGAAATAAAGGAGACGTGAAATACTCAAATAGTTTAATAGGCGTGTTTATGAACACAAAACAAGAATAAACGACTATGTGAGATAGAAAATAATTGAGAAAAAATAACTTATTATTGCAGTAAGATATGACGCTGGAATAAATGTTTGTGCAGTCATAGTTTGAAGTGATACTATGAAAGTCTCAATCAATTGAAAAGATAACGAAGTATCAATGTATGAGTCATATATGCATAGTGAAGATAAAACGAGTTCGAGAAGTTAATTTAAGTGTAACACAAGTTATTATCTTAATTACAAACTTCGTAATCTTAAGAATAATATTTATTCAGAAGGGCGAAACAGAGAGAAAAGAAGTAGACACTTAGAGAAAAGGTTCAACCATGATAATAATAGTTGTGTAATGAACATCGATCTCCGAAGTAAACCAACATTTTAGAAAAATAAAATAAATCCTATAGTGCACTCGGATAAATACATGTAGATTTATCTGGGCTTGAGACCCGCGGTAACTCTACAAGAGCCGCAGATGGAGTTAATACAAATAGTTTGTCTATTGCAACTCAGGACATTGAGTCTCGATCGTGTCCCTCACAAATGCACTCACGTTCAACGAACTGTGGTGAGCCATCTGTTCGAAATTCTCAAAACTATCAGTATTTTTACGTATTAAATGAGGTTTTGATAACAGTTCATATGTCGGACTAGTATTACTAAATCCTGTTACAGTTAAGCAATAATGAAGTCAAGAAAATCTACCAGTAACTAAATAAACTTGATTAAACTAAACTAACCAACTGGAACACTGGTTGAAATCATCTCCTAGATGAGGTTATACATCTATTCCTTCAGTCAGCCCACCAATTCAAATGCAATTAGAAATCAACTCATATGGACGGCATATGGACATGAAAATCATAGGAATTCCTAATTTAAGCCAAAAATAGTACCAATACTAATGTTTGTACAATGCTGATTGTCTTTCTATTTATGAGCACGAAATCCTTCTCCTGTCCATAACTTGAGTTGTTAATTAACGATTACTCCTATGGAACTTAATGAGGCTTGTTAAAATATCTCTATACAAAGTTATTCTTAATTATCATAATTTTACCTTGTTTAGCTATTGAATAATCTTCACGCAGAATTTCATTTGGCGTGTGCTACGAATTAAACACAAAAAATTTGGAATTATTGCATATACTTCCCCAACGGTTTCTGCGGCCTTCTTTTTGATTTATCTTTTAATTGATCGGTACTCGGGGAATCCTTACTATTGTTCTGCTAACCCCTGACGCGCGACAACTCCACTCCACAACGTCATGTTGATTCTAGTGGGAAAGTAGCGGTGCTGGTTTCTAACCGCACGCTTTTCGAAGGCGAGCATATAATTACTAAGACGTTTTACATTCAACACGTAACACTTGGTGATGATTTTAGAACATGCCGAGTGGTCACCGTTGGACAAATTAAAGTTACATGACCCTTATAGGGCCACAATTAAACTCAACTCCGTTTCGTAATTTTGTCAGTCTACGTAGCGACCAACCAGAATGAAATAGGATTTATAATTTTCGTCATTTCCGTAATCAGTAGCGGTCGGCTTGCCTTGTTCTGTGTTTTCCCGTTTTTTTTTAATAAAACTACATAGTTTAATGTTAAAGTGCGCTGAAATTTCCCAATTCATGTAATATCATAACTGTTGGTGATAATTTTTAGATTCTGCCATGTTTTCTCGGCTTTTGCTGCTGCTACTCAAGCCAGTGTATTCTTTCAGGCAAGCTTGCTTTCTTTATGCAATAAAATGTCAATCCGTTTTGTTCTAAGTATTAATTTGTAGATATCGGAAGCCAAAGTTAGCTCTTTTCTGCTAAAAATAAATGTTGCTGCCGCCTGGGATTCTCTTAGTGTCCGCATATTCCTTCCTAATTGTCGTTTATGATTTATCCAGAGCAATGACAGAAAACTATTTTCGGTTTGTTATTTTCTGTAGTTTCATGGATCACTTTATCTCATCGAGTCAAACTAATACCGGGCGTCTAGTAGCAGTGGATATCAGTGAAGTTTTCGAAAGGATTATGAGATCCAGGCACTTCACAACCTGAGATCAAGTGAGAAATGCTATCGATCTATTGCAGAAAATTTGTTACTGGGACTTTACCACTGCTAGATGAGTGAGACACACTGTGTTATGCGTCAAAGCAATCTTAACATTAGGAAGCTGGAAATCCACTACAAGTATGTAGTTTATGTCTGTCGATTTGGCCATAAAATGAGACTGGAAGGCCATGATCAGAAAGTAAAAGGGCAAATAACTGTCATTATGTCTACATTTTTGTAGGTCAAAGGTTACTGGTTACAAAGCCATGCTTTGTTTGCAGTATGATCTCAACTGATACACACTAGTTTCATCTAATACGATCCACAGCCATCCTTGCCGAGAAAGGCATCTGAGAAATGATATATGGTTCAGGGGATTAAAAGGTGATCAGTTTCAAGTTGCCATACCCATGAAAAAAACTGGAAATGACCCTGAGCAAGTTGTTAAATATTTCGAAGACAATTTGGGAAATACTATTGCCATTTAGTTTGCCAATAATATAAAATTGTCAAACGTATGGAGATCTTTGAGGACTCACTTCTGTTCCATTTTAAACAAACAAATAGTATTAGCTCTGGTCAAAAATGCGGAATGGATCAATAAACAAGTTACATGTTTTTAAGCAAAGAAGAATTTGCATAACTGTGACTGACTAACACGTTCATGAATATTAGTTAACGATGAGGTCAGCTAATGCAACATGTATAAAGCGTAGTATGTGTTTATTAACGTAATGTACAGCTTTTATTCTTTTGCTCACATTTATTTGTTTTAATACATTTGCGTCTCGTTCAACTGGAAGATATGCAGCAAGACTTAGTGTCTAATAAACTAAAATTTCCAGTTATTAGAAAGATTTTTGACGTCACTTCACAGCTAACTGCATTTAATTAAGACGCACAACACTCTTCTTTCATGACTGAATACTGCGGTTTTCCTGGGAAATAAAAACACAAACACTTAGTTATCAATCTGTCGATGTTAACGCTGGGGAAACTGTTTAATAACAGCGATCTTGAAACACGGTCAGGGCCACAAGTACAGCCTACAATCGAAAACCGAACATATTTATCATTTCTGAATTCAGGGATAGCATTAACTATACTTAAGATAGGGTCGGACAATTTAGGTAATGAATTAGGAATGTTTACAGGGGGACCTTCAATATCGCTAAGTTTATTAGGAGAGTACATTATATACAAAATAAACTAGTAGGTCAGTTGAAATAAACATTATGGTAAACAGAGTAAACTCTCGGCTTACCAGATAATTGTGCTGGACCAAAATTATATTAACTTAAAAATGACAATAAAGTTATTACGTCCAAAAGTTAATGTTATAATATATCAGTTATAAGTTATAAACACAAAGAAGAGTTATGAAACGTTACTTAAATCATCAGGATTTGGCGTGTTCGAACTGCTCTTGGTACCATAATCCACAATCATAGGTAATTAATAATTCAAATGAGGTTGTTGTAACACCAGCGATATGGCCAGATGTAGTATATAATGAAAATATGGCTGTAGTCTATAAATGTAGATAATATATTTTTTAGGGTTCAGATATCACAACAACAGGTAACTGAGAACGAGAGACGTGTGTGTAGCAGCGTATTTACGAGCGGTTAGCAGAGTATGTCGTGCTATGGGGAATCCAAAATGGAAGAGTTTACGGTCATGTAATTTTCAGTAACTTTTACAATCATTTTTGTTAAATATACAAACTATGGGAATTAACAAAAGAAATGCGAATGATATCAAAATTTATTTGCAAAATAAGTTTGTTGTGCCTATATCCACATATTCAATATATCCACGGATTAGACGAAAAGCAGCTTGTTCCTAACGAGACTGTCGCAATGGGTTTTAACGATCTAAGAAGTTGGACGAAAGCCGACTGTTTTAACGTAGTCACAAAACTAAGTTAATACCATACAGTTGTTCTACAGATGACGTTGATCTTTGCTAAGATGAGGTTGACGCTCAATTCTCTCTAGCATGTAGAAGCATTCTCGACTGTCACATTCTCCATCAGCCATTCGACTTTATCTTGATTTTAAAACACATTTTTGAGATTGTTTCCAGCGACTTTTAATCCAAACTGTAGTTGCTCGTTTTGTACTTAAGGTATAGCTTCAGAATTAACATTGGCATAAGATGAATATTAGGGAGAAAACGATATAAGAAGGCATAAGTCTCCCTGGACTTACATAAAGTATTTCAAATTCTGAAAAACACAGCTCTTTTTACTGATCTTCGTAAGGTCAGAATCTTAGTACACAAATCAGTTACTCTATGACGACGCATTTTATGCATCCCATAATTATATGATTTGTCGTAACGCAAATTCTGACATATTTACGTATTTGACACAATTTAAGGATTGCAAGAGACAGTGATTTTTTGTTTCGGGGTGTAATCATCTTCTTTCTGAGCTTCGACATGAAGTTTGTTTAAGCTATCTGCGAACGAGATTTAATGACCTACAATACATAGGTAATTTTCAAAAGAAATGGATTTGGTTTTGAAGTGTTTGGGAGTCAGGTCGTAGACTTATGATCGACAACAAAAGACTTTCTACTAAAATAACAGGCCCTTCATGCACAGTTGTTTCTGACAAACCAGTAGTTACAGTCGGCCGTAAAAGCCATATCCCTGTAGACGTATGTCTTGACGATTCTGAATGTGTATCGCGCAAGCATCTAGAAATACACAGAAAAAACAAGGATATATATCTTAGATGTCTTAGTAAAAACGGAATATTTATAGATGGATCCTTTCATACTGGGAGGCCGGATTTCGTTCTTTTAGTTGATGGGTAAGTAGTGCCAGTAGTTAGAAATAATTATTTATTTATCATAATTTAGGTGTAAATTAAGGTTTCCGAGTACAAACATCGTAATTATTGTGGAAGTGGTCGAACTTGAACCCTTTTGTCACCCTAAAAAGCGGGCATCTTGGAGATCTTCACTTGATCACACCAATCGTGGCAAGCCTACATTGAGTACTGATCAAAACAATAGGTGAGTAAATTCCCAGTAGCCTATGTACATACATTATTTCATCAAGCTGTGTTTCTCAAAATATTTCGTATCGTTTATGAATAATTCTTTCAGATAGTTTGCTTTATAGATTCATAAACTCAAATTGTCTAACTTTATCAGTGGTAATTCCGTAAATGTGTATAAATCAAATTAGTCTTTTCATGTTTTTCCTGTAAATCAACCTTGTCATTATTTTAGCTTTGAGTGAGCATCTAAGCCTATATCGAATTCTTCTTTAGGTTTAAGTGGTATACGTAAGTACCATAACAATTTCTTGGTCATTTAGGTTGTTTTCTTTAGTATGTAAAATATTCATAAAGAACTCGGGCCCATGATGTTCATTCAACATTAATTCATAGTCTAGCTTTCGTGTACCAATCCTGTTTGACTGCTGAAATATTTAATCACAAATGGTATGTGGCTATTTACATTCTGCATAAATGTTATATCTATCCTCGGTTTCCCTTTAGTAAGAATCTGCACATGTCATGCTTGAGCTAAATTTTCTACTCCTTAAAATATAGATGTGTTATTTTGTCTTTGGAGTTTTACTTTCTATTTGTTTAAATTCCCTGGTACGACCGAGAATGGGGAAAGTCCGCTCTCCCTCTCTAAATGCTCTCACATGGCCACGCGTATATAGCCTCTGCCAGGACAGTCCTATTCGTTGCCTTCTCGTGGCGGGGGTGTTGTTTACGAAATTGAGAGGACGAAAAGCGAATGTCCGGCGCTTTAACCGGATTCCAAACCAATGGTGCACATTGGCTCCAGTACCCTAGAGGAACAAATGGCGTATGAGCCAATCATTGGTCACCGGCTTCCATGGGAATGCATCTCCTTACGTTGCTCCACTGCCTTGTGGATCAGACCTTCAGGTCGAAGGTTCCTGGTGTGGCCCTCTAAGAAAACCACTTGCTTCGGTTTGGGCACCCGGGCAGTATCACGGTCCTCACACATATCAAATGAGATCTGTGGCGCATATGTATTTGGTGCCTCCTTGTACCAACATCCATGTGTTAAATTCCCATCTACACTAGAGTATAATTTTAGGACTCAGTAACTTTTTATCATTACCACTTGATAAAGCATAATCAATTGAGATTATGAACCGATCAAGGATTATGATTCAGTACGTTTACTCAAAATTTATTCACAGTCATGTGGAGGTAGCCGCTTTTAACCCACAGGTCTTACGGAGAATTTTATTAGACTTAAGATGTGTGACCTATGCAAATAAAAAATCTAATAATAACATCATACATAAATATCTGTGACAAATTGGGCATTTGACATGCATACATAGTCACTATTCACGACGTATAGTAGTTAATAAAATAATATCGAGAAGAATATAAAGTAGACGAAAACAGAACACTAGTGTGAGAATTAAGAGTACTCGCTCACTTAACAATAATCTTTAAAATAAGATGTAAATAAAGACCAAATTAATATGTCTTAATAGATTAAGGTTGAGTTTATTCATGTTTCGTCAAAATTTATCTAGTCTTATCCACTACTAGTTCCTTGTTTATTTTGTCTTCCTTATTAAAACATAACATGTTTTAATAGAATATGGAATTATCAGCTTTTCACAACCATCTAATTTTAGGACGATGTTCTTTTTCATAAATCCCTCACCAATTATAGTAATAATCACTTTATTCATATGTATTAAATCGACTGGAGAAATATTGAAACAAGTGTATAGCGAAGTTAAGTAAAAGTAGTGATGATAATTACTCCAGACAAACGCTCCATATCACTTCGAAGAGCGATTCTCCATAAACGTCTATGCGGCTATATGAGCTTGAATCAAGTATCTTTAGTAGCATAACACATTGTTATGGCACTCTCTTCATAGTTTGGTACCTCTGAAAGACTTCGATAGATGAAGTCAGAAATTGCCCTGAAGTATAAAGCTTCACTGTAGAACACTAACAAATATGTTTGTATTACTGGACCCAGTAAAGTGTCAAAATTTTGTTACTTTAAACCATCAGCATAGAACTTGTTTAGATTTCATGAATTTGCTGAATGTCAAATATCTACCATTTTTGACAGCATATTACTCAGATTCCTGTAGGGTCGTCTCAGGAGTGTTTATGTCATTTCTCATAAACTGAAACTATCACCCCCAATGGGCAGTCTGTTCGGACGACTTTCTATTTCCGTATTTAGTTCAAAAACACGGTTTTCTAACCTACCCATTTTATTCACTAGCCTTAACTAGATAATGCTGTACATGGAACCCCTTCTCTAAATAAATCCATAGTGCAGTGCCCCTAAAAACTAAGCTTAACAGTCAGGTATTAATTTACTGAAAGATTAGTGACCTAGAGACCAATTTCCTCCAGTCGCCTGCGACATTTTATCATATTTATTTTGTGTCTGTATTTTCTATACAACCATGTTATTTTACTAAAAAACCCTATTCATTCAACTAGTGGTCTTGTCCTTATTTCTGATCGTTCGGGGACTTCAGTCAATAAAATGGTTCCATGTGCAACCATCACTCGGCCATGTCGTATCACCTCATCCATCTGCCGATTACCATTATATTTATTGTCCTTAACAATTGAAAACTTCGTCTCATCAAACTACCGAAAACCATAATAATAATAATAATAATAATAATAATAATCTGATTTGTCGAATTTTCATATGGCTTGGAAGAATTGCTTTCAAAGTAGTGTTGTGCGTATTCTTGTTATATGTACGTTGTAAATGATGGTGGACTAAGGTATTTATCTTTTCCGAATGATTTTGTGGATAGAATCGGTCACTTATGTGATTGGTGAGTATCAAGGACCAACGTGGTTGTAGCTTGTTTATTTTGGTACTTGATTTCAATTACCGAGTCAGCCTCAAACCTTGTTTTTTACTTTAAAGTAGGTGACCAGTTAGTATTTCTTGGGAGTAACTCTGTGGTGTGGGTATTCTGCACCCAATAACCAGGTTGTATGTTTGCACCAAATCATGCTTTATTTCTGAAAACCACTATCATCCCTAGTCCTTACATGACAAACGTGAACTAAAACCGATTACCTAATTATTCAGTTGAATTGCTTATGTTTGTCAAGGATAATAACCGATGACGTTCTCATATTATTTGTAGTCTGCATTCTAGTTCACGACCTTGTTTTTAACTACGGAGTTGTTTTTTAGTTTGAAATGATGTACTCATGCTGTCGATTTCGGTAGTCACAAAGTGTTTGATAGTTTCTTACTAAATTATGACATTCTTGAATACCTAAATTAGTCTTAGTACTATTCTGTAGAAACGCATAAACACAACAAAGTAAAATCTGGTGTATAATAATTTAAGTGCGTTTACCTAGCAACCATGAAAGCAAATTTACACTACTTATTTCGGATTTAATTTCCTATAAAGTGTCATTCATACTAAACTTTCAGTAGCCTTATTTAAAAATTGTTTGTATGCCTTGTTATATTTTCATATACTTACACTTCTGTTTTGCAGAAATATGACAGATCCACTAATTTCACCAATTCTAACGTCCAAAGGATTTGAAGAAAACTCCCATTCTTCATTTTGTTTTGAGTCCGGGAATTGTCGAAATACTCCCGAAGAAAGACATGATGTTTCATTTAACAACTTAAAAATTGATTGTCAGAATACTATTCCGGATTTATCCCTTAACAGTCTTCAGGGTTCAGCCACCTCAAACTGTGCATTATTACCGGTTGAACCATTATTTGTACAATCAGATCAAAATTTCAATATTCCAGCCATCAGAGCAGCTACAACAGTCCTTCAGAATCTTATTCAAAATGATAATCAATCTAAATTCTTAAATATCGATGGTGAATCACTGTTTCAAAGCGAAAATTCAGATGTTGTAACTAAAATGAATCATATCGCAAGATTGTTTGCTTTTAACTCACTTGCACAGCTATCCCAGTTGGATGCACACAAAAGTAGTACTCTAACATTATCTAACTTAGTGAATTTTCCTTCTCATCAGCTATATGACTCCAGATCAACTGAGCTCAGTAAGCTTTATAATTTACTTCTGATTTCACTATTGAAAATAATTAGTTCAAAAATGTTCATAGTATGATAGTGTTCTAGTTTCAAAATTAACATATTATTGCCTCCTAAAGTTTTTATGGAGAAACTACATAAGTCTACTTGTTAATGTCCGTTATCTATTATTGGTGACTGTAGCATGATTCCAAACCTGTCACAATGGTACACCCACATATTCTCTTAAATCACTTGCCCCTGCTAAACCTCGTGGGGGAGCATAGTTTAAACAACTTTTCATTCTCTTCCTTTTATTTTTCTACTACTATCTGCATCAATATTTTCACTCTTGTTTTTTCCTGTGTCGATTCTCCACCTTTCTACTGTTTTACATCACCTTTGCCCTTCATCGTTTGTCCTTTAGTAAATACACCATCCATGAATACATCTTACTATTATTTGTTATCTGTACTTCTGAAAATATTCAACTAGGCGAGTAGCACATATTTTCGTGTTTCATTTATTTGTATAGTCAAACTACAACAAGTCTGTCAAAATTCATTTAATTTGCCATAAGATTTATTCTTAATTACGTTATACCTCATTTCTAATGACAATCTTTACTCAATTCAGTTTTCTAAAGCTCTCAACATTTACAGACAATTAATTGAAATGGAGTAAGAAATATGAAATATTGTAAGTGAAAACGACAATAATGTTTCTAAAGCTATGATTATACAAATGATAAGTTCTAATGTATAGTTAGTGCTTTGTAATTTTCATAAAAGAAATTCCCATTACAAGTCGGTGTAAAATAAGAAGTTGAACTTTCATAGTAGTTGGTGATAAGCACAGGTCATCATGCCATTTATTATCTGATGATCCTTTAGACTGCACAAATTACTCGCTTTATATTATGTTCTTCCAAATACACCATATAAATGTTCTTCCTCTATTATTTAAACACTATCGAGGACTCAAACTTGGCTGTGTATGCTTCATTTTGTCGACTGAATAGTATCATAATAAAATTTTCACAAAGCCTAATGAATGAATATACACTTGATTATTTAGTTCCAGTCTATGAGCATTCTTGTACTACAAATACAAAAAATTGTTTTAGTATTTTCTGACTATATATCAAGATTTAAAGTTTGTATTTGACTTTCAAAAAAACTGTCTATCTTACCAGGCACGATCACATCTCTGTTCCTGATTCTTCATGGTCTCATATAGAACTACAATAGATCCTCCAGTTATTAAAACAAGGGGTGTTCATGAAATGTTTCCTATTTTTGTCTGACTATACCATAACTAAATTTTTTTTCCAACTTTGTGTAAATTACTTAACATTATAGTGACATCTCAGAGATATTTATTTTTGTGTGTACCCAGATAACATGTATGAAACTTACAACTCTTCTAGACACCCTAAGTTAAAAATCTGTGAATATTTGATATTTTCAAAACCTTCGACTATCAATTAAATCAGTGGTGAGTAAACAATTTGGCGAACTCTAATAGTTGATTAGATCTCAAAAACTGATTGATCCCTGAGTAGTAGGGACCAAAGTCATGTTTGTCTAGTCCTTTAGTGTCAATCAAGTTCTATCGGTTAAGTTGCAGTGTGTTCATTAGTTAAAAGTGACTCGAAGTCGAGTGTACTAGGTTGCTGCATATAGCAGGAAACCCTGAACTTAAATTTTGTTCTAGTTAGTACTTGTCAGCAAGGTGTACCTGCAATCCTGAGGCTGTTAATGTTCCTTGGGGAATTAGAACCTGGAAAACTTAGCTTCACAGATTCAACATGTAAGCCCTTCGACTTGTACCAGCACACTGCTAAAATATATACATAAGTTAGCTATCAATTTTGCTAGGTAGTAATATATGTTAGAACAACACATGTAAGCGAACAATTATTTTCAATTAGATCGTCATCAGGCTTTACTCGAATATACATGAATATCTATATAAAAATGTTGAACCAATCAAGGCCATTTGAGTCACCACACATAATAGGTAAAAGTACAAGTTGCTAGTAGGAAGACAGGTGTATTGATAGTAGTAAGAATAATAAAATACGATAATAAAAGTTTTATCAATAGTTTAACATTGGAAATAGAAGGTCAAATGTGGGTATAGTCATCACAAAACACTAAAACCATTACGTAATAAGTGTGTAAATAATTAGTTAGTGAAGAATACAAACGGAAAGAGGCGGAAAATTACAAACAAATACAGGATGTGAAAATAAAGTTAATGATAACAAAAATAAAATTAAAAAAACCATTTGTTAAGTTGTAACTGGCCATGGATGGGATAGGGGGATTACGAATTCCTATGGCTTCAGCTATATGTAGGAGACGGGAACGAACTCCGTTGGGATATAATGGAGGTATACGATAGATCACTCGAAACCCTTCCTATTTATCTACATTATGAATGCTGTCAATAAGATGTGCCAAGATAGAACTGCGCATTGTTTTTATCTGGCCCTTTATAAACCAAGCTGGTAGATGTTCACTCATTCGTCGATTAATTTGCCTGGTAGTACGCCCGATATAGTTATCTCCACAGGAGCAGCTGGATTTTTAAATGCATATTGAGGAGGCCGACTCAGGTAACTTATCCTTCGTTTGAGTAAATATCGCTGGTCGACTCGAGAAGGTCAACGCAAGATTGGCTGCTTAAAATGTCCTGTTAATTACTTTCGTTAACCTATCTTTTAGAGTATCACTAACCACATCCCCGTTGAATTGTAGTTTCATGTATCAAGGCTTCTTTCGAGCAGTCGAAATCTTCGACTTCTTTTTTATGTTATACATGTGCTTAATGAATGCACTGGGGTAACCAATCTCGGTCAGTGATTTGTTGGTAAATTCCAGCTCCTGACTTAAAATGTCTACTGAACAGATCTTTTTTTGCTCTGCTAGTAAGACATCTAACCAAATTTCTCGGGTAACGGATAGGTGTAATACTATAGGAGTGAGTATATTGGCAAGCAGAGGGACTTTTTCTATACACACTTCTACTTAACGAGCCATCACTTCGTCTGACTTAATGTGACGTCAAGGAAATTCATCTTTTTGTCACATTCACCTTCACCAGTGAAACTGATCGCCGGATGTACACTGTTGAATTGTTCTAGGAGTTTTCCCTTACTATATGTACGTATATTGTTCTGTAGTCTGTATCAAAAGGTCCAATAGGGGATAAATATATTATGATAAATGAATATCCTTAATTCTAATTCACTTTTACTATTATTAACCAACTAATTAATCAACAGTAGTGGTTTTTAATCTTTTAAAACATGCCACATGTACTTTAGATTTTTATTTGGGTTTTTTTTCTAATATTTTACATACATTTACTTAATAGTAGTTAAGATTTACTTGTAATCTGTTACTTCTAATCGTTTTAGATTGAATATCGTGTAGAAAAAAAAGGCAACAAAATGAGAATATAGATTGTTTAACATATTTCTTTAGTGTAGTGTATATGTATACATATGTCTTGCTTGTAAGATTGTAAGACTAGTGTCCTTAAGATATATTTTGTTCTATTTTAGGTTAGACATTAGCGTACTTTATGTGGCCTTGTTTGGTTTTTTGTTGTTTTTTTGTTGCCTAATAAAAACAAACAAAAATCACACTTTTGCCTAGATAAGATTATTAACTGATAATGGAGAATAAAATTAGTGTTTATGTTTGTCTAAATCACCTGGGTATATTTATAAATATTCTTTTTGCGTACTACTACCATTACTAATACTAATACTTCTACTTTATACCTGAGTTTATGTAAGTTTTAGTATGGATAATATTATTATTGTTTACAATAAATGAACTTTAATAAACTAATACTTGTCAGCCTGATTTATCTCATTTTAATGAAGATTGCTGAATTTTATTTATACCATAGACTAACTTTAACTAGATAACCATTAGAGATCAGAATACACTGAATAACTATTTCGACCTAGTATAAGAACCTTCATCAATCCACGGACACGACCTCGCTATAGGTCAAACCCAGGGTCTTTCAGGTATTGCGGCTAGCGCCTAACCTTTAGATCACTAAAGCAGCTGCTAACACTTAAAATGTTTATTTTCAAATAGTTTGCTATATTCCTCAGTTATCTCCTCATGTCATCGATGGATAAATGCCTCATAACCCTTCTGGTTAAACATCACCAGTTACGGCTTTTCATTAGAGCTCGGGCAACTATCATTCGAAATCAGCCATTTGTGATCACATGATAACTTTCAATGCAAGGTGCTTGTGAGAGTTCTATCCTTGGTGGAGTGATGGACATGCACTGCTGAAAAATCCCATACCACGACGAAATACCTATCTAGTGTTTTCTGTTTTTCAGCGGCTGTTTAAATAAGATTGCTCATTGATGTAAATAGAGATATATTCATTTTAATAATACGCTTTAGTAATACACGGTTAACACAAATTGACAGTTATAAAAGGTCCGATGGAAGAGTCCCACTTTTATCTGTAACCTGTTCAGATTCAGGTTAACAAACCTAGTTTTTTTGTGTCCAAAAAATAGCTTGTAATATCTCTATCTATTCATTGACTAGAACCAACCCGACCCACGACATTACTAATTATTTTTACCACTTGTCTGTTTCTCTTTTTCTTTACCATCCTCGTGCTGTAAACTGGCCATTCATTTTATATTGCGTAATGTTTAATGATTATCATTTTAATAAGTTCATTTTTAAAGCTTTAACCTCATTTGTACACAAGTACACTTCCATACTTTAGATTACAAACTTGTCATAGCTAGACCTCCATTGAAAACATTAAAGCACTGGACGGCCGACTCTGTATTCAAATTTAGGCGTTCGAACGCGAGACTAAAGGCCCTGGCCTAGATCCCCAGATGTGGAATGGTAGATAAATACTAATGACAAGTTCTATGTCATGACGAAATAGATGTCCATTGTCTCTTAGTTTTCAATAGTTGCCTAACAAAGATCGGTCGTAATGTAAAACTTTAAATTCAATAATCTTCACAACGAATTTTCAATAAAAATTATGTATTGATGTGAATTTTGTCTGGTTTTTTCTAGAAAAATTCTTATTTATCATTAATTTACAGATTGTTCTACATTCAACCCTGGCTTATCAGATTTAACGAAAAATCCCTTCGTATTGTCATCTAACTCTCCGGAATCTCAATTAAAAAAATCCGATATCATTGAACAAAACACCTTGACAGTAGATGATTTAGATGACACTGCCGATTCAAGTGTAGCTGCAATACACCAGAACGTCACAGCATATTGTGGTGATGATCATAATGACGATGGCAATAATAATAATAATGGTTGCACTATTCAAGAAAGCGAATCAACTATTAATAAGTTAGCTGCAAATTTAGCTTCAACAACCGCAATTGATCGGGGCTCAACATTTCGTAAACCGCCTTATTCTTATGCTCAATTAATTATTCAAGCTATTGCATCGGCACCTAATCAACGTCTAACTTTAGCTGATATTTATGCTCATATTTCAAAAACATTTCCATATTATAAACCACATGAAAAAGGTTGGCAGGTAGGCGACTTGAAATCAGTTTGTCATTTCTGTATTTGTTTGTCTTTTCTTGAAACTAATTGTTTTCTCATACTGCAAATATGCAGTGATAATAATCCGATCACACATTTACTTATTAGAACATTTGATATATAAAAAAATAAGAGGTCAAAATAAACGAACTGAAAGATAAGAGAAAAACAATATGAATTACCCTACACTCTAGATAAAAAAATCAATATTACCAAGGGTTTGTTTTGTGTGTAAGTAAAAGTTATTTTGAAACACACGAGTGGGCTCAGGCGTATTGAAGATTTGTATAGCTATGATTCCGACAAATTTAAGTATTTGCCTTATCTTAGACAACTTTTATGTAAAAATCACAAAGCTGAGTTAAGATTAATCTTATGATCTGTCTCAACTGTGTATTTAACGATGAACGAAAATGAGGGGTTTGTTATGTGCTCTTATTTGAGGTCATTTGACCCAATGATGATAAATTTGATGAACTGTTAATGTCGATAGATTTACAACATACTTTTTCTAATGATTAGTTCAGTTAAATCGCATTTCTGCTTTCCCTTGTACAGTTCACAATATCTAGTCACCCCATCTCCTGATATACAGTGATAGCTGAAGTAGAATCAGATTTGATGTAATAACTTACTTAATTACTTACGCCTGTTACTCCCAATGGAGCATAGGCCGCCGACCAGCATTCTCAAACCCACTCTGTCCTGGGCCTTCTTTTCTAGTTCCATCCAATTCTTGTTCATTTTTCTCATGTCTGTCTCCATTTCCCGGCGTAACGTGTTCTTTGGTCTTCCTCTTTTCTTTTGGCCTTGAGGATTCCATGTGAGGGCTTGCCTTGTGACGCAGTTGGGTGCTTTCCTCAATGTGTGTCCTATCCACTTCCAGCACTTCTTCCCAATTTCTTCCTCCGCTGAGATCTAAACTCCAGGGGACTCCGGGTGGGGTTTAGATGTAATAAAGTTTACCCAAATTAATATATGTAGTCACTTAATGTCTATTTGAATCCAACTATTCCAGTATGTGTTCTTCCAGGCCATGCAAACAAATAGTTGAATACCGTAGGTGACTTTGTTATACCGCTCCAATCTACTTGAGATAATAAAATACACCATAATTATTGACACGTCAGCATTTGTAATTTTGCTCAAGAGATCGATTCTCCAAAAGTCCCAACCGAACAGGCATCAAATAGGCTGAATCGAACTAGCCAATGAACTAAACATATGTAAATATTCGTATTTGGAAACTAAAGTTAGCCATCTGATACTTAACTATTGCTTGTGAGCGGCAAACGCGGTAAAATCAGACTCATTGCAGACCTGGACTTAGATGTATTAACTAGATTTTCACCTTCATCAGGTTATAACGGATCACGTGAAATTAAGTTTGTTCACAATTATTAATTCAATCAAGTCATTTTATTAACTTATTAACGAACTGAGTCATCCTAACAACAACTTATCTATATCATTGTATCTTTATTACTATTGCGAATGTATGAACATGTATGCCTGAATATTGTTTACGGCCCGCGCATTTATTCACTATGCTAGCCTTACTACTAACCACTTATTTGATTCGGTGACTCATTCATTTCACTATGTATATGTATGTCCATGTTATTCATATTCATTGCTCTCGCTCTCGCTCGCTTAGTTGTACGCGCTTGTTCGTATTCATATTCGCTGACTCACTCGCTCGCTTAATTGCCTTTCGGCACAACTCTTCTATGCTTGTTTAACGCATCTGTAAATTTGATTATCTGTGTGTGGTCCCGTAATAAACGTAATCAACGCTTCGTGTTCGCTTTCTGATTAATATACCGTTGGGGCGTTATATAGGACGGTTATCAAGACGAACTGTATACAAAGTTTAAGGATTATATCCAATACCGACCACCACAAGGTTCTAGAACTTTGACATACCTCATGATGTTCGACTATAGTGATACTTCTTGACCCTAAGAGGAGAATACAATCTTGTTGCTTGACTGGTTTTATATCAGTGTATCACTGGAAAATTTACTCAAATATATGAACCCCACGAAATTTAGCTATTATTTACGTACATATTACTCAATCAAAGCAGTATAATCAAAAAGAGTTAATTGTCCAGTAAATCGAAAATTCATCAAAGATAAAATATAACTTCACGAAGTGATCATTGTCTACCGTAACAAATATATGATATATAATTTACAGCATTACTGCTCTCGTGGTTTGAGATGTGCTTTTTTTTGTTTCAAGTTTAGTGATGGTAATTTAAATTAGTTGAGATAATATATATAGCCATATTTTAAGTATTAATTGTAATTGAAGTTTAGGCCATAACCAGTTTTGTTGTTCTGTAAAATTTAATAATTAATACTGTCCTTAATCAAGTTTACACATAGCTCAAAACATTAACTACAGTTCATAATGAAGGAATCATGGACGAAGTGTAGGAATGTATTGTGCAGATAGATTTATCCAATAAACGTTAAAAAATTAAAAGAAATTTGCCAAATACTTCCAAAATCATATTTCTTTTTGAGTTTGTAAGTTCTCATCTTATTACGGTACGCAGTATATAAAAAATCCATGTACATTCATGACATATTTCTTTTTATTATCTTAATGTGGTGTGGCAGCCTAGTGGTTAAGGGGTTTAACTTTCAACCACTAAGAACCAAGTTCGGACCTCACTCCACTTCGTTTTGAGCAACCGAATGGTATAGTTAACTATCATATTTATAGCATAGCTCACTCCCAGTTACCTGGTGAGTGAGTTGCATTAGACTGAGTATTAGGAAAGTTAAAACTAGTTTACAGATTATTGTATTTTTATATTCCTTGTATTGTAAGCTTCCTTCAGACCTTTTAACTATTATCATACATTTTATTGTTCCATGGTTATCACTAACTACTCACCTTTTGCTTTGTCCTCTGCTATTTATGACATTATTGTATGTAAAGCATGATCTGTTATTCGCGGTGCGTTGCGCTCTGATAATTCATGTATATAAGCTAATGAGTATTTGAAATAAATATACTAGGTGCTTAAAATATAGTAAAAGAAGGTTATCTACTCATAACTAGGGATAGAAGGCGTGCTTATCGGCAAACCAAATAGGAGTTAATATTATTTTCACCTCCACTCAAGGATAATATTACCATTTGAAACTTATCATTAGTCAAAGCTTAGAATGATGGACTATAGACGATACAGTACACGTGAGAGATCGAGAGATTGACTAAGACCTTAATTGACCAGTCTTCTCTATATATCGAGTAACGTCGCATTCATAACATGAGTTCGTTATTATTATTATTATTAGTCTTGAACCTTTAAAATTAACCACGTTTTATTTCTTCTCTTATGATAATACAGAATTCAATACGTCATAATTTATCATTAAATCGTTATTTTATCCGTGTACCACGTTCTCAATCGGAACCTGGTAAAGGTGCATTTTGGCAATTAGACCCTTATTGTGAAACATGTTTAATTAGTCAAGCATTTCGTAAACGTCGTCAAACGTCATCGAAGTCATCATCATCATCAGCTGATTTAAATCAAACTAATAATCCCAATAATAATGCTAATGACGATAGTAATAATGATCAAAATCAGTATGACGGTGACGATGATGATGATGTTGTCGACGATGAAGAACAACAACACCAAGAAAAAAAAGAAGGTGAACAAAGAAATGTTTTAAACGATAATAGCAACAACGAGAATAGTATTGATAATAATACTATTGATGTTAATAATTCTGCATTTCCTGTAACATCTCGTGAATTATTTTTCAATGATAATAGTCAACATAATCCATTAGATAATAACACATATATTGGTAATGATAGTAATGCCTCAGCTTCTCAATGTGTTTTTGTACAATCGAATTATTGTTTAAAACAACAAAATCATCACTTGCAAAATGTACAATCGTTACTTCATCCTCACTCTTTTTGCTTGTCAAATTCATTATCATCGTTATCAACACCATCATCACCATCGTCGGTCATGTTATCGTCATTTGGTGATCACCAACAACGCCAGGATGAGTCTGGTGCAGTGTTACATTATTCAAATAGTTTACCAACAGCCAATGGAGATCGGTAAGATTTACTATTTTATGTTCCCATTAATATGTATTTGTGAAAAGATACGTGTAGTACATCCGCCTTTCAATGTTCAGTATATATGCGGATAGCAAAAGTTTCTGGGTAATTTTCTGTCCATTTAGTAAGTGAGTGGTACATATAAGAGCATAATTTCTACTGAGGATTTCATTATAAGCTGTAACTTCGCGTTTTTTTATCTGGAAAGTTGGGTTTGGGCTACAATGACGTGTTCATAAAAGACATATGTGGAAAGCGTTAGATTATTAAAACGAAACTTTCAGTGAAAATTGCACTCTTATATTCACCATTCACTCACTAAAAGAACGAAAACAATTCTCGAAAATACTAGATATCAAACTTTTATTGAACTATGAAGAAAGGATGGTTAACCTCACACGTATTTATACTGTTGAGATGATTGTGTTTTGATACAAAAATTATTGGTCGAAAACAAAATAATGGTCACTGGGATATGGCCCCCAAATGCCGTGGTACGACCGAGGGTGTAAAGAGTCAGCTCTTCCTCTCGAAATGCCCTTACATGGCCACTGCCAGGGAAGTCCTACTCACTTACTTCTCGCACCACGGGTGTTGTTTACGAAATTGAAAGGATGAAAAGCGAACATATGGCGCTTTGACCGGTTTGTTGGATACGGAGGATTCACCCAGGGGGGTGGAAAATCCTGATTCCAAACCAATGGTGCACAGAAGCTCCAGGATTCTGAGGGAACAAATGGTGTATGAACATATTGTTGGTCACCAGCTTCCATGGGACTACATCTTCTAACGTGGCTCCACTGCTTTGTGGATTAGGTCTCTAGGTTAAAGGCTCGAGGAGTAGCTCACTAAGAAAAGCATCTGTTTCGGTCTGAGCACCCGGGGAATATCACAGCCCACACAAAAATCAGATGATTTATGTGGCGCCTATGTATTTGGTGCCTCTCTGTACCAATATCTATGTGTTCAAATAAATAAATAACAATAACTGGAATATGAAAAAGTTTTAACTGAGGTAGACATGTGATATTTGGTAATAAGATATGACTTCACTTATAATACATAACCTGTCCACTTCTTTATTATAAATGTCCATACGTCTCACAATATATTCATTTATTAAGTACAATGGATTTGTGTATTTGAATTCATATTTTTACATTTCGTTTAGGATGTATAGCTGAGTTAAACTGTTCTGTCCACGTTCTGATAGATCACTTTAGAATAGAGGAATCAATGGTTGATTATAACCGTCAAGTCACAAGTTTTAATCCCACTATCGAACTACTTTAGTTTGATCAGTCGGGTAATAAGTGCTACATTCCTTGACATAGAAATTAGTATCCCAACGAAGCTGAACAAATAGATGCGTACTTCGTAAATGCTTTACGTCAAATTAAATTTTAGGGAAATTACTATGTCCAAGTGTGTTTAGTGGTGTATAGTCTCTTCATCATCACATTTCCCAATTCATGGTATATTGTTTAGTTGAAATAATGAGTAGATTTATAGAAATGTGTTGAGGGCTATTGATAATTAAGTGATAAACAGCTTTCACTTATAACTACTGATTTAATTAAGTTATTAGTTGGGGTTTGTCAGTTATACGCAATGTGGAACCTGGCATATTTGCACATTTCAACTTGCCACACTACATTAACACTGCGACATAAAATTATCAAGACCAATCCTAATATTTTGGAAATATTAACGGTATCATCAGTAAAAGAAAAGTTTACACATAAATAACGTAATTCAAGACGAGGGTCTGAATTCGTGGAATTGAAAAAAAAAACGTATCAAATAATTCAAAAAAGAAATCAGAATATAAAAGAGGATAAAGAATGAGTGCAACTGCGCCATTGAAACCTATTCTAACCCATGTCACGCAACCTCTTCAACTGTTGGTTACGATAATTGCACTGTTCCCAACACGACTCAATCCGACTGTTAATCTAAGGGTTTGTAACTTTCTGTTGTCCATGTTTAGAACTTTGATTGATAAATCTGTGCTGCTATATGGGCTTGGTGAGTGAATTGTCTCTATACAACTTTATGTCATGAGTTTTAATATGTAAAGTATAGGTATTCAGTAAAATCCAAGACACTCATTTCATCCTACATCAATCTGTGACCTGTTCAGGATACATATATGACAACACAGACTAATCATTTACAGTTCTAAATGTCGACGAGACATTAAAAACCTTTTACTAATACTTTCAAACTCATTGAATAAGTTAGTAATTGCACTCAGTAGCTCTGTAGATAATGTGCTCTAGACATTTTGAAGAGAATGGTACTGGGTTTTCTAGTGCAGGTACATCGACTTGACAAGTCTCAAATAGGATGAAACACATGCTCTGGATTCCATTGCGACCCTTATGCCAAATATACTACTTGAGTCATGTTTAAAAGTTCTCGTTGAGCAATCAAATATTTGTGTAGGTAAATAACTTTGACAATGTAGCACAAAATCATACCGATAGGAAAATATTCACTAAATATAATAAATATATTTTTATGATATCCCTGTTAGTGGGAAATTGTATTTCTGACGTTTCATGACTTAATGTAGGTTACTTCTTTAGAGTAACTAAATAACCGTAATAATATATATTCATATATTGGATTATGTATATGCACGAGTATGAATGTGCATGACAGTTACCAAATCTAGAACAAAAAAAAGGAATATGTAGCTTTCAATAGTTCTGAAGATTATATCAATCAGTCTGTATGTGGTGAATCCAACTATCTTTATACTGTAAAATTCTTTACAAAGTAAATACAATCTATTCTTTGCTCAGTTATACATTGACCTCTGTTAGTCAGTATGCTACTACCACTACTACAAGTGTTAAACTAATCTGGCGACTGTTCAAATTAGTTACAAGGTTGTTTTTTATTCCTACTAGTGATCCTTCGCTTTTTAATGTATATTTCTCATGTAATCCATTGTTGTTATTATTATTTATGCGCAGTTCATTATAGTTGTGCTTGTTTATACATATAAATACTTGCCATAGAAAATTAAGGTGAATCTATTTTGTGAATTAAATCACTTCAATTATTATTGTTGTTAGTATTATTATTATTGATATTATGAGTTATCACTGGTGTAATTATCATTATTATTATTACTAGTTATCTATGGTACTATTTTTATTGTCCTCAGCTGACCTTCGTGCATGCTTTCGATTTTACTGCTGTTTACATTCACTGTTTACACATTCATTCACTCTCATTCTCTCCTTGTTCAGCTATGCTACTGTGTACATGTATGTGTGTTCAGTCGTATGTTTTGTCCATTTATTATTATATACAAATATACAATAATTAATCTGATTATTTTGTTAATGTATAAAATGCCAGTTGTATTTTCTAAATATGTTTTAGTAATCTCCTTATTTATTTATTTATTTGGTTACTAATAATACTACTACTTATCTATTCATTCATGTATTTCATACAGATATGTTTGCACTTTTGTAGTAAACTAAAAAAGATGGTAATACGGTGTGAGGAAAAAAACAAGAATGTGTGTGGTAATACTGATGATGGTGATGATACAATGAATCTGAGATGTTGAACTTTGTATTAATAGATGGCGATATGCATATCCTGCGATCGTGTGTGTTTGTTTGAATGATTACCTACTTTACATTATATGACATAGTGCCCTTATGATATAATATGTGAGGAAATAAGTTATTTAGGTTTTCATTTAGACTATTGTACAAGCAATGTGAACAGTTGGTTGAAATTTTACAATATTAATTCAAATCTATCTTGTTTTGTTCTTTTGTCATTATTATAGCTCTTCCATTATTATTATTGTTATTACTACTATTATTATTATTGTTATTATTATTATTACTATTACTATTATATTCTTTTGTGCGTTATCGATGTGGTTGAAATTTAGTTCATTTGGGCTATAACTCAAAATCAGCTGAGTGAATGAATTGGTTAGTTAGTTGGTTAGTTAGTAGTGGTTGTAATAGTAGTGCAATGCCACGTGATCTTCATCTATCCATATCAGCTGAAGACATTAGTTCATTAGTTGACGATTGTCTTATTTGTGTTTTTGTTGTGTTGTGATGTGTGGTATGTGTGTATATTGTATTGTATTGTATTGTTTGTTTGTTTGTTTGAATACTCAATAAACTGTGTACTTGTTATTGTTATTGTTGTGTATTGTTTGTACAGTGTGTGTGTTTGTGTTGCGTGGACTGATTGTTTATCGTTGATTATGTAATGGTGTTTTTGTTTTGTTGTGTATGTGCTTTGGTGTGATGATAGTGTACTGTTTATTTATTTATTTATTTATTTATTCATTCATTCATTTGTTTAAATATTGGATTGTTGTGTTTTTGTGTAAAAATAATTGAATTAATTTGCTCATTCATGTGTTTATGGATTTGTTGTTGCGTGTTAATGTCCATGTTCTAGAGTGATTTTGTTAGTGTATATCTATGCCTATGTTTAGATATGTATTTAAATGTATCATCACTGTGTGTGATAGTAGTTGCCATTGTGTTTTTGTGTATGTTTATTTGCATTCACATATCCACTTTGTAGTACACTTGGATTAATTATAGACAATGAATAGACTCTTTTCTTCATTCTTAATTTATTTATTATGGACATTTTTAATTTTCTATTTTGTATCTATTTCTTGTAAAATATTGTAATTTTTGCTCTCTCACACACACACACACATACATACACTTATCGATAATACATTTTTATATGATTAATTATGATTGCATATTTCTTATTATCCCTAACACAAAATGACAAACATATTTAGTTGTAATGGTAATAATAAGTTGAAAAATAGTCAATCATTTCAATTAAGTTCAATATTATTAATGACCAATATAAGAATAATGATGTGTATTTGTTTTGTTCATAAAAAAATTACATTCTTGAAATAATTGTTTGTTTGTTTGTTTTTTTTCACTGATGTTATACAATTCCAAAAATATTCTTATTGAATATGAAATCTTTAAAATTGTTTCACTTTGATTAAAAGTTCTTATAAGGTAGTCTTGAGTTAGTAAAACATCAGTAGTGTATAAGTTAAGACATGTCATTAATACATAAAGTCATAGATTATTAAATTAAACCTTGTTCTTAGGTGCAAACTACATGCTTTGTGTCCGTGTAATTATTGCAAATAATAATAATAATAAGATGAAATAACTCCTGGACCGGTCACATTAGCACAAATTGATTTACTTTTTATCTTATTCTATATTTCCAGGTTCAGTATTCCTTTCACACAGATCTTATGATTCTCCAATCTTTCTCATTTTTATTATTCCCGGTATATTAGTTCGTTTTTATTTTTTCTCTATTCATATAATTAATTTCATCTTGCTGTGTTAATGTCTTGTAACAATATGGGTCAACGTATAAATGTGTCTGGTTCTACGTTGATTTTAACTGACTGAACCCCCAAATGCCCTGGTACGGCCGAGAGTGGGGAGAGTCCGTTCTCCCTCTCGATATCCTCTCACATGGCCACGCGTATACAGCCTCTGCCAGGGAAGTCCTACTCATTACCTTCTCACACCACGGGTGTTGTTTACTAAAATGAGAGGACGAAAAGTGAATATCCGGAGCTTTAACCGGATTCCAAACCAATGGTGCACATGGGCTCCAGTATCCTGTGGGAACAAATGACGTATGAACCAATTGTTGGTCACCGGCTTCCATGGGACTGCATCTCCTCACGATGCTCCACTGCCATGTGGGTTAGACCTTTAGGTCAAAGGCTCGGGGGGTGGCCCCCTAAAATAACCACTTGCTTCGGTTTGGGCACCCGAGCAGTATCACAGCCCTCACACATATCAAATGAGATTTGTGTAGCGCATATTTATTTGGTGCCTCCTTGTACTAATATCTATGTATTAAAATAAATAAATAAATAGTAACTGACTGATCAATTGAATTATATTATTTGAATGAATTGATACACCTAAAATTTTATTTACTACTAACATTAATTAATTGTATACATGAAATATTGGAGAACACGCTTGAATTCAACACTTTTTCGGATCACTCGTTGTATAATCATGTCGCATATTTTTCTGTTGTGTTTTCATTTCCATGTGATTCTGTGTCACATCGTTTCACTCAACATTATTAGTTCTCACGTCTATATGTCTAAGAAAATTCTTAAGATGATGATCACCGTTAAATCTTATTGTCCTGAATATCATCCTGTTTTGTTTGAAACTGGTATGCTTTATGTGTGTGTTGTATTACAAATTGGACTAAAATACACATACACTTGTTCATCCATATGTTTTTTTTTAAATTTTCAATCATTTCTCCAACAAAATCAGTTTTAAACCAAGACAAAATCAGATGATATATACAAGTGTATGTATGTGTATATTTAGACATCGTTTATGTTTGTACCCAGGTTTGTTCGTTGTTGTTTCTCTCTCCCCTCTCTCTTTGTTATATGTAAACAACTAATTCAACTGTCAGGTAGGCAAATTTCTTTTTAAAAAGTTGTTTATTCATGAAGCACTTAATTGATCTGATTTTTCAACAATGATCTATGCATAATTGTTATTACAACAGAGTAATATATTCTTATATAATAATATAAAATAATTAATCGCTAAGCAAAACGATTCAACACCACAATGTAGCCTATTTTTAAATTGCCGTTACTGATGACCATTTCTATTCATAGGGATTGTTGATTGTATACTGAAAGCAGTCAATAAGAAGCCCAGTCTAATCACCTTGATTTTTTG